TGGTTTGGGTTTCCTCCCTCTGTTTCTCGGATCTGTGGGCTGTTATTGTTCCAGTGTAACACACGTCAGCCGAGCGGAGACGACCAGAGAGGTGACGAGCTAAGTTGTGGTTAGCATGTGGCAGTTGCTCTGCACTTCCTTTTTAGCTGCTAACAATAGCTGATGCTAGCGCTACAACAGAGAGATAACATTCACCAGAAGCCTCCGCACTCCACGCGTCTACATCAAACCAGTTTCAACACCCACAATCCAGCACAGATACATATTTGTCAAACCTACATACCCCTTTACACCCTGTTGTGCTGGTTTCAATCAAGTAGGAATAGGGATATGCTAGCAACTGGGCTCAAACATGCTGAGCGTGGAGGAAAAACATAGATGAAAACATGAAAAAATCATGAAGAAAAGAACGTGTGACACGCTCTGGTTTCATTTATCAAGCTAATATACATTTCTCAAGCTGAAATACTTCATTTTTGGCCTTTAATCTTTCTGTCATGCAGTTAAACACTAAATAAAAGGTGCTAGCATGCATCAAGACAAAAATATATATAAATAAAGCATAAAACAAAAGACAATCACAAAAAAAACTGTGTGTGACATATCTGGTTCTATTTATCATGGTTAAACACATTTATCTAGCCAAAATATTTCTTTTTCGCCTTTAGTCTTTCTGTCATGCAGGTAAACATGAAGGAAAAGGTGCTAGCAAAATGCTAAAAACGTGGTAAGCATGAAGAAAAGCTTTATTGTGTGTGAAAAATAAATAAATGAATAAATAAAGCATAGAAAAGAATGAAAAAAGTGTGACACGAGTGGTTTAATATATCAAGCTAAAATACTTCTTTCTGACCTTTAATCTTTGTGTTATAAAGGTATAAATGATGCTAGCAAAAATGCTGTAATAAAAGAACAAGAAAAAATAAAGCATGAAAATATTAGAAAATTATGTAAAAAGAATGTGTGACACATCTGGTTTAATTTATCAAGCTAAAATACTTCTTTTTGGCTTTTAATCTTTCTGTCATGCAGGTACACATGAAGTAAAAGTTGCTAGCAAAAAATCTAAGACATGGTGAGCATGAAGAAAAGCGTTTTCATGTGTGAAAAAAATAAGAAAAATATGAATGAAGTATGAAAACATGAAAAAAGGCATGAAAAATTAATGTGTGGTTAGATTTATCAAGCCTCTTTCGGTCCATGGCTGATGCTAACAAAAATGTTCTGATTAGGAAGAAAACAACAAGCGCGAGACGTGAAAAAGGAATAAGAAAAACATTTAATCTGAAAAAATAAATGAAACGTTTTGTTTTTTTTTTTTTAATTTCAAAAGACAAGTGTGACGCAGGTCCGGTTTAATTCTTACTAATTTAACTGGAAGTTCTCGGACTAGCCAGCAGCTGAAAGCCACAGAAAGGTCAGTACAGTAAGAAACAGCAGGTGGAAGAACAGATAAAAGGAACAGAAACCAGGACAGAGAGAAAGAGAGAGAAACAGGGGTATAGGGCATAAGAAAGGAGAGAAAGAAGGGGAGGAATAGAGGAATAGGAAGCGAGGGAAAAGTACCCAGCAGGCTGAGGCTTCTCCTGGGAGGAGGAGGAGGAGTAGGAGGATGAAGAGAGTTCACCCTGCGAGAAATATCCACATCAACCAGCGACACTGTCTCACCTACAGCCCAGAGACACATACAGGGAGAGAGACAGACAGATAAACGAGTGACCTCTGGCCCTGCAAAGCTCTCCGTCTGCTCTGAAGAGTGTAGAGGTTATAAGATTTGGAAGAAAACTTAATTATAATCGATTCTAACGTTGCAAAATCGTGGCAGTCAAATCCTGGCTAGAATTGTTTGGTTCTAAAAACGTTCTGAGAATATTATGCATGTTTTATTAAAGTTTTCAGCAGGAAGGTTTTTGTTCCCAGGATAATGTTCTCTAAAAACAACAACGTCCTCAGAACATCCTCAGAATGTCCTCTGAATGTCTCAATTTAAACTTTATGTCTGAATTAACGTGAAACCATATAGGAACATTATTTGAAATGATAAACATCCTTAAAATGTTCTTTAAACATTAGATTAAATGTAACATTTGCTGCTAGCTCAGATTGGTGCAGTATAGACAGTAAAATCTATATATCTAACATTTTTATTGCCTGAGAATTTTATTTAGGCAACAAAAAAAATTCTAAAAATTGGCCTTTATTAATATTTTCGCCGTTCCCAAACATATATCTCTGCACTGAACATATTGTAAAGTCAGTTTATCTTTGAATATTATTTTTTCTGCTGCTAAACGTTCCTGCGCTACTACAGCTCTAGTCTGTTAGTACAAGTGTTAAGTACAAACCCAGCTCGGAAAAGCTGGGACAGTGTGTGAAACACTAATAAAAACAGAAAGCAGTGATGAGGCAATCCTGTTTGACCTGTGTTAAACTGAAAACAGTATAAAAACATAATATTTGTTCTTTGTTTTGTAAATATACACTCACTCCAAATTTGATGGTGCAACACGTTCCAGATAAAGTTCAGCGCTGTGTTACATCAACCTTTATTTATAGAGCACTTAATAATCATCTGGGGACTGAAGACACAAACTGATCCAGTTTTAAAAGTGAAATAATTTTACCCTGATTTTAGCCCTGATTCTCAGTCTGGCTGAGTCTGAGCTGGTCAGCTCTAGTCTGCAGATGTTTGGGTCAGTCTGAGTCGACAGTTGGAGAGAGTTGAGTCGTAGTCTCAGATTTGCAGTCTCCTGAACGCATTTCAGACCAGTCAGAGTTTATCAAACGTTTCATTTTTTAACCCGACTCTGAGTGTAATCTAATGTAAACTGGTTAACAACTCAATCTGAACGGATTCCTGCAACAGCCAATGAAAACTGAGAGCACAATAGAAGAAAATACAGCAAGTAAACAAAGAAAAATGGCGAAAAGTCATGTGTGGAGCGAAGCTTTTAATGAGCTGAGTTTAAAGCACAATCAAGGTTATGTGCATTTAAAACTCTAAACAATACCAAACTGATCACTTTTTAAATCCATGATTCTCACTTAAACATGTTTACCTGCTGCTTCTGTACTGTTTCAGTGCAAACGGCAGAGAAAACAGCAGCAGCAGTTGTTTGTTTATTTGCGTCTCCTAGTAATGGGAGAACGCGAGAGTTTGTGAGTTCACTAGGTTCAGTGAGTCCATTCGGTTCAGCAGCAGCTTAAAAGTTGAGTAGTGTGTGATCCCTAATCGTTATATTTCAGCCGCCCTCAAAAATCTGATAGTGTGAGACGCCCAGTCTTTTTATAATCTGTTCAGACTTTAAAAGGCGTGTAGTGAACCCAAGGCTTTACACAGGTCCTCAGCTGTGCAACTTCACTTGACTGGCATTTGTGGATGCAGTGTATGGAGGTAATTATGTTGCAAAACTTGACAACTTGTAGGACCTGAATCTGAGAACTTGTAGAATAAAATCTGTACTTGCATTTTTGATTTGAGAACTTGTGAAATAAAAAATCTGAACTTGCATTTTAAAATGTTCACAGGCAGAAAATATAGTAAGAGAAATACAAATATATTTATTTGTACACAAATTAATTCTTAAATGTGACAGCACAACTTCAGATCTGCCCGCCTCAACTTTTGCAACACTTCTCTCAGTAGACTTGTTGCAAAACTGCTTTACTGAGGGATTAGAACTGGGGTGGGGATGGGGGCCAGTGTGAGACGCATTTCGTGACCAAAGGAGCTTATTTCAGCATGAAATAAAAAAAAAACCTGGACACCGAGGTGCAGGAAAATAAGCTCTGATCTGCCTCTGTCAATGATGGCACACCAAACCTGAGTCCCCATGAGCAGAGATAGCTCTCTGTGTTACCAGCCGAGTGTGGGCTGCCATGCCTTGTAATACAGCTAAGAAGATTTCTCACTGCATTTTCAATATGTGTAAATGTGTTTAGCTAGCTTTCTACTACAGCTGTTGAGCTACAGCAGTGCTCACCAACCCTTTTCCTGGAGATCCAACTTCCTGCAGAGTTGCTTAACACCACTTGGTACATTTGCACATCAGTACATCAGCGAAACAGTATGGCTAAAAGAAACGAACGGTCGTTTTCCTGCTATTCGACGTCCAGGTTTTTTTCTCCATCCTTAAATAAGCTCCTTTGATTGGTCACGAATTACTCACACTGGCCCCTGCCCCCACCCCAGTTCTAATCCCTCAGTAAAGCAGTTACACAAATGCACAAATCAGTTTTGCAACAAGTCCACTGAGAGAAGTGTTGCAAAAGTCGAGGTGGGCAGATCTGAAGTTGTGCTGTCACATTTAAGAGGTTGAAAGCACCCATAAAGGACTCAAACTTAAAAAATGAATCTAAAAATTGGCCTATACTCATATTTTGTCCTTTCTTACAGATATATGTCTGAACTGGATGCTCATTTTATACTCAAGCATGATCGCGTCAGCTCATTTAAAGTATTTTTATATTTCACAAGTCTTAAACTGCTCCTGTCCCACATTTTTTGGAACATGTTGCAGGCATCAATTTCAGAATGAGCGTATATTTACAAAAAACAATGAAGCTGATAAGATAAGGCATTAAACCTCTTGTCTTCGTACTGTTGTTGTTCAAATACAGGTCGAAGTGGATTCATTGCTTTCTGTTTTTATTCGCATTTTACCTACTGATCCAACTGGATCCAACCAGGTAGCCTGAACTGAAAAGCTGAGGAATGTAACACCAAACTAAACTAAACTAACTAAAGGAGGCAAACAGTCAATTCTGTTTAGATTCAATAAAAAACTGAAGACTTCAATCTGATAAAATAATAAAGTCATATTGCAACACTTAGAACATCGCACGTCTTTAAGTATCACAGTACAATCATATCATGGCTCAAGTATCCTAATAACATTCTGCATCGATTCCCACCCCCTACAGCAGGCTTCAAAACACACTGCAAAAAGACACACATAAAGAATACATGCACAAAAAAAGAAAACAGCCGCTTCTCTTACCAGTGAAGGGAACAGGAGAGTAGGCACTTCGAGGCCTGGCCAGTTGAGGCCTGCTGCAACAGGAAATTACAAAAAAGATGAATGATTGAGAAGAACAAGATAACAGCAATTAGTTTGTTTAAAAAAATCTAATTTGCACCATTTTCCCCTTTAACCCAAATGCTTATGTGGTTTCTGAAACTGTATGAAACACTGTTATCTATAAACATGGAGTAACACGATGACTGCTACTGTTTTCAGCCATGATAACATACTTTAGTCCATGTTTATAGATAACAGTGAGTTATGCAGTGTCAGAATCAGAGATACTGAACACATCCACACAGATTGTGATGATTTAGGCATGCACTTATAACCATGCTAACTGTTGGGTTATAAGCTTTCATCATTTTTTAGCTACAGCAGAAAGCAAACGTTTGTTCACCGCTGGCAAAATTATATGTTTTGTTCATTTTTGAAGTGAAAAGTTTGCAGCAAACTATTTTTTGCAAATGTTAATGCACAGTTACTTTTTATTTTATGAACTTAATGAAGAAAATAATCAAATAGTAATTGTGGCATGTCCTAAAGCAATTACACTCTTCCCAGTTGTAAATTCTCAGAAATTAATTAACTCGTTAGGCCTTAACTGACTCATTAGGACTGATTAGGCAACTCAGTCATTGTCATTATTGTTAGCTGATGACCAGAGTGCAATAAATTTCTCTGACTCTTCAAACCTTGTGCTAACACTCAACCACATGCTCCTCCAATCAGCTGGCTGAAAACGAAGCTAACTGATCTGTATGGTCTGCATTGAAGAGTCATTGGATAGAAACCTTACCCATGACCTCATTGCAAAGGTAAAAAAAAAAGTGTATGAAGAGTGCAAAACAACATCTAGACAATTCAGAAGCATTTTGGAAACAAGTGATCAACCAAAAGTGAAACTCTGTCCACAATCACCAAAAGGGCGTTTGGAGACGGAGCAGCATTTGATGAAAAGAACACCGTGTTAACTGTTAAGTCAGTCAAGAAACTGAAGCTGAAAAAAGGCTGGCTTCAATAACAGGACAATGATCCCAAACATACCTCAAAACGCACGATGAACTACTTCAAGAAATGCGAGCTAAAGCTTTTCGAATAAGCCTCACAGTTCCCTGACTTGAACATCATTGAAAATCTGTGAGCAAGGTGCGAAATACAGATACGGACCCCCCAGGACCCCCTAATTATCCTCTTGGACCCCCTGAATGTCTCAAAATTTAAATTCCAGAGGACCCCTGAAAATAAACTTATTATGATGTTATGTTGTCATCATTTATCTGCTTCCCCCACAATCAGCTTCTGTCTTTGGTGTTCTTAACTAACTAGAGCTGCAGCAGATCTGTAAATCTGAAAACTCGCCCAGTTTCCCTAAAGGTTTGGAGTGAAGAGTGACTGTTCCTCATTTCTCACACTGAAGACAGAAGAGGAGACGAGGAAGATCTGAGTTAATGTGAGGAAGAGCGCAGAACCGCACTAGAACAGAGACTCTACAGAAGAACTGATAAAACAGACATTTACCGACAGTGAAGCATCAGCGCCGCTATGGAGAGAGAGTTAGCAGCCACACAACAGCAACAGCACAAGAATACCGCAGAACTGGAAGTGTTCTGAAAGTAAGAGTGGGTGAAATTTCCTAAAACAAGAACAGAAACAGTCTAGCTGTCTACAGAAACCGTCTGCGAGCTGTGATAATCTGCCAAAATGAGGCGGTACTAAGTACTGACTCAGTAGGGTGTCCAAACTTTTCACTACATATCACAACTACTGTTTTGTTTTTTCCCTTTTTTAAAATCTCCCTTAAATTTCCCTTAAAATCTCAGGCGTATTACATTCTAAGGCTTATTATTCAGTAACTATAGGGGCTTCAATGCAAACTGGCTGAGCCATAAGTTATAGAAGTGTGTAGTAAGACTTTGGGCCTGCTGGTGGGCCCTGGACATTTAATGGGTTAATCAAATTGAAAGTAAAGAAAAGTGTACATTTTTTATTACTTTGCTGTACAGATTTACTTCTTTTCACTTCAGAAATAAATAAAATATGTAATTTGGCTAGCTGGGGCCAAAATCTTGCATACAACTGTATGTTATTCTCGTAGCTCCAGTGCTAAAGCTAAAGGAGCAATGTTCAGACACCAACTAGTTACATTTACTCAAGTACATGTACTTCAGTAAAACACTGATGGATCTGTACTATTTGTACTGTATTTTCAAGTGATAGCACTTTTACTTTTACTCAAGTATCTTGGTGAGTAAAGGAATCTACTCTTTACTCAGAGACGCTCATGTTCAGTTACTAATCTCTTTTTTTGTGTTTATTTTGTTCTGTTTTGTTGATGACAACATCGTCACATTTTGGAGCTTTAGCATTTTATGGATTTAAGCTAGAGCCACACCTCTGAATCTTAGAGCGGAAGTGAGGTTGCATCCATGTCCCTCATGGTGAGCGGTTAGATCCCATTATTTTGAAATAAATGTGTCCCAAAGTCTGAAAATCAGTGTGGAGCATTCAGAATCGTCATATTTTCTGCAGTTCAGTCCTTTTTAGTGTTTAATGAAAAATACTCCGATTTTCTGAGTGAACAGCCGTTCAAAGCTGTGTTTGCTGGTCATGTACCAGATAGAACCTTTGAGTTCTGCTCAAAATGAGCTAAAATTGTCAGCACTGAAACATTTAGTAAACTTTCGGTAGCGTTATGATTGTTTTGTTAATGGCAAAATGGAATGTTTGAATCTTTGTTTTAATAAAATAATCATAATTAAGGTTTAGAGTCACTTAAACAAAAGGATTTTAGTCTAAAGTCCAAGATCAGTTAAAAGTCCCAAATATGTTTTCAACTTGGAACCAGTTCAGTGGAACGATGCACACAATACACAATAATAAATCACTTAATGATGGTGACAAATGAAATCAGGCTATGCTAGGCTTGTCCTGCATTACTGGCTTGGTTTTAAAGTGACAGTTTGGCAAAAATAGCTTAAATATAGTAGTAAGTCCAAATACTCTAACTGTGTATTTATACTGATATTTAACTGAGCATTTGGAGTTAGTTTAATGAAATCAGAGATGCTCTGACCTGCCCGTGTCGGGGTCAGTGCTGCTGGAGCCCCACACGTCCACCAGGCTGCCCCCGGATGAGGTGGAGGAGGCCAGCGAGGGCCGTTTGTCGGCGGCGTGGCCCACGCTGGAGCTGCTGCCCGCACTGCCGCTGCTTTTAGTGCGGAACAGTTTACTCAGGCACACTTTCAGAGAACCCTTCCTCGACTTCCGCTGGCCTGCCCTGTCCCGCTCCCTGCTGCAGGCCGCAAAGGTCAAAGGTGAACCCACGTGTTTGGGTGTAGGGGGTCGACTCAGGGGGGCTTGCACGGTGGTTGCAGCTTCCTGGACTGGAAACAATGAAAAATTCAACATCAGACTACTTGACATTTTTACAGTATCCTAAATGATTTTTCTGAGGTTGGTGAAGAAGCTGGACCAGCTAAACTGCAGCGAGACAAAAAAGCTGAAAACTATGAAAGCAATGATTTTTCTTAGAATAATATTCAGATACTAATATATAAAGATGCAATGTAACAATATAATTTGTATATTTATATAGTATAATAATATATATAACAATAATATACATGGTTAATATTTAAAAAATATGAAAATGGGGAATTCCACTGTTTTTCCACAATTTCTGCATAATTAGTTTGGTGTAAACTGGTTGATTATAGAGACTCAGATGTCTTTACAGTGGTGGTGATAGGAACCAGGGGTCGCCATGACTACAACACAGATATAGACATTTTATTTACTATCCAGAACCACCAGTGAACCTACACGAGTCTTCTGAGTTTATATGGAATGTTGATGATGGAAAATAGTGGAAAATCTGAAATAATTAGTTTTCTTTGGGGACTATTTTGCCTCACAACACCCTGGATATGATGTATCCCTCCACCATGAATGGAGTTTAAGGCCGAAATCTTCTCAAAACTTTCATAAAAGAGACAGTGTCTCAGTCATCAGGCAGTGTACCATAATCATTTCCTGTAGTAACTTTCTGTGAGGGAGCTTTTAGAGGTGGACGTCTGGTTCCTATCACCACCACTGTGAACAGTTCTGACTCGGTAAGTTTCTCTAGAACAGAGCGTTTCACACCAAACCACTCTGAACGAGTGAATGTTTACATCTTAACTATTTAATTATGGAGAAATTCTGAAAAACTGGTGGAATTCCCTTTGAACAAGAAACAGGAAGAACAACAATTTGTAAAAGACAAATAAATAAACAAATGAAATAATAACAAATAACAATGAGCCTCTATCCAATCGGCTACTTTGCTTTTAAAAACAAAGGTGCCAGAAGCGGTTCTCTGTGAGATGCCACAGAAGAACCACTTCTTGGTTCTCTAGAGCAGTGGTTCTACTCAGACAGTCCACGTTTTTGCTACCAACCAACTTGCAACACACACTGCCAAAATGTGGACCACCCGTAGAGAACATTTGAGAACCACAGCCCATGGATGGTTCTTTAGAGAACGACTCATGCAAAACAGTTGATTGAGAGTTAAGAACCTTTATAAAGAACCCTCCTAAAGAACCTGCACATAATGTTAACAGAAGAAGAAACAGGAAGAACCCTTAAACTGATATAGAACATTTACGTTATGTGAAGGTTCCTCCAGCCTTTAAAAGGTTCTTCCTGCTCATTAGTCCCTTTTTCCTCTACAGCGTCACTTTCTGGCACATTGAGTTTTAAAGAGTGTTGTTATTATGTTTATTCAGTTACTGTACGCTGGTCATCGTGGCTGTTGTTTACAGTCTCTCTACACTGTTAGAAATAAAGGTTCTCCGCAGGTACATTTCTCGTTCATCAAGGTACAAACAGTGTAAATGTTCCCTCAAAGCTCCAACAGTGGTTTTAAGGTCTGATTGTGAACCTTAAATAAGTTTTTCCAGGTGAAAAGTTCGTATTTGTACCTTTTCATAACCAAATGTTTTAAAACAGAACAGTAAAATAAAAGCCTGGAGACGAGACGGGGTGTGTGGAGTCAGTACAGCTTAGAACATATCATTTCAGTGGATTATGGTTCAGTTATGTTCCCTGACTAAAGGTACTGAGATGGACCCTTGAGGGTTCCACCCCAGTGACAGGAGGGGAACTGACCCAGTGACAGTTTAGTACCTTTATTTCTGAGAGTGTATAGTTGGTCTAAATGAGGTGAATTCGGACCCGTTTTGATGTTTAAGGATGTAAAGGAGTTCATAAACAGATTTCCGGTTTACTGCAGTGAAGGAGAAACAATAAAAGGAACTTTTGCTGATATCACAATATAAAAAAATCACTTTCCAGCTGCCAATCAGCAGTGCGCACATCTGAGTCTGACTAAATTAACCTCAAATATTAAACTGAATTTTTGTGATGTGACTTCTCACATTTTCTTCTTGTCTTCCTGCTTTGCAGAGCAAAGAAACTGTCACACAAATAGTGACTTCAGGATTTAAACACTGGTTAACTAATTCAATCTAGAAGTACACACACACACATCGCTGCTGTCCGGCCGAAAACCTTGTATCTTTTTTTTTTTTTGTCGTTTTTCAGTTTTTGTCATAATTTGAAAATGCCTGTAGACGTTTATATTGTGTGTTAATTTCATGATGAATGGACCAAAAGAAATGACCTAAAATTACTTAGAAAGAAGTCTGGTTCCATTGACTTACATTAAAAGTAAAGTATGTTTTTTCCTTCTCCTGTGAAGTTACCATTTTGGAGATACGAAGTTTTGTTCCGACAACATATATATATATACACTCAACTCAGACAAGCGCATTATGACTGAATCCGTGATGATAAAACTGCCATAAATGACAATGCAGCATCTTAAATCCAGTCAATAAATCTAATATTTCATGTCTAATGTTTCAGAAAGAGTCTGAGATATTCAGCCTATTTTTACTTGTTTTAATTTTATAAAGTGAACTTGTCTTATAATACTGACATTATTTTGTATGTATGAAATTATGATTAAAGGAAGCGAAATTGTCTTGAATTCTGGAATCATTTTGCTACTTAAAATGACTTAAATCAAGTAAAACGTGTCTGAAAATGAGCTGAATCATCTTATATAATCATCTATGTTCTTACGAGCCTCGTCATGAGAAATATTAGATGTACTGAAGATTTTTTAGTTGATTTTATTATTTTACTGTTTTCTATTTTGTGTGTTTCTGCTTTAATTTTGTAAACTATTTCATTGTAAAGCACTTTGCGCTGCTGCTGCATGTATAAAGGTGCTCTATAACTGTTACTATTATGATTATGATTATTATTATTCTTATAGTTATATTTAAGATGATTTCACCTGCCAAGGCAGCAGTGAACCTTAACACCTCATCTCCTACCTGGAGGGCTGCTGTGGATCCCGGTTCCTCCGGGTTCTGCTGGAGATTGTGGGTCACAGCAGGCTTCCCGGGTCAGCCGGTGCACCTGGTTCATGAGTCCGCTGAGGGAGCTGCTGGAGAAGGTCTGGTGTTGCTCCTGACCTGCGTTAGCTCCGCTCTGCTGGGGTGCGCTCTGAGCCGCGGCGTCGCCCTCAGAGCCGTCCCGGCACCCTGCTTTGCCCATTTCGCCCTGCGCCCCTAAACCCTCCAGAACCAGCAGGGCGTCACTGGTCTCACTCGGGTCCTCTCCAGGCTGGACTCCCGGGACGTTCTGGCAGGTGCACAGAGGAACATCTCCATCCTTCTGCAGGACGTCTCCCTTTCCCAGCTCCCCCAGCCTGCGGGCCAGGTTCAGGACCGGGTCCTGGAGGTCAGGGCTCACGGCAGCGGCGCTGGAGGGCTTGCGGGCGGTAGTGGTCCCCAGGTGGTCCGCTAAAGGTGACCACTCCGGAGCGTCCGAGATGAGCCGGTGCCTCTGGCAGAGGCTCTCAGAAACCTCCTTGGAGACTTTAGTGAGTCTGAAAACAGGACTCCATTCGAACCTCCGCGCTGGAGCCTCCAGGCTGGAGCTGCGCTCGCCAGCATCTCCTGAGCCGGGCTGCCCAGGTCCAGGTCCGTCCAGACCGGGGTCACCTGGACCCAGGAGGTCCTGCAGAACCATGAGCTGACCTGCTGCTTCTGAGCGGCCGTCTCGCTCTCGCTCTGATCCACCGGCCATGCCGAGGCCATGCTGGAGATGCTGGAGATGATGATGGTGATGGTGGTGCTGAAGATGATGATGATGATGATGATGAAGGTGCCCCGTCTTGCCCAGCCCTGAACCCACCGGATCGTCTTCGTACTCGGTGGCAGAAACCAAACGCATCAGCACGAAATCGGGAGACGCGTCCCGCGCGCTGCTCATCATAAGCTATTATCGCTATTATTATTGATTATTGTTCATTTACATGAAGCTGCAGCTGCTCCGCGCTCCGGAGCCTCCCGCGCGGATTAAAACACCCCGAGTCTCCGCTACAGACCCGCTTTGTCCTGTGTGTGCGTGTGTGTGTGTGCGCGCGCGCGTGTGTGTGTGTGTGTGTGTATATGTTCCTTATTTATTTATTTATTTATTTATTTCTCATTCTATCATTTCCGTCGACGCTGCGCGTGCGCGCGGATTCGTGCAGGGCGGCAGTGCTGCGCGCTCACTGGCTCGCTGTGGGTGGCGGAAGTGACACAGGCTCGCGCTGCATCCGCACGTTCCAACATGAAGAATGAAGTGAACACTAAGGTGCACACTATGTAGGGCACCTAGCTGGAGAGAACGCTAGAGGGCGCTGCCGAGCGAGTCCAAAATGAATGGGCTCCTAAGGAGCTTTTGTGCGAAATAGTAGTTTGCAAACGCTTAAGCAGTTATATATAAACATGCACCAGCTATCTGAACACAGAACAGCATAAAACACTGCTGACCAATCAGCTCTCAGTAGCAGTAATGTTAACCAATCAGCTCTCAGTATCAGTAATGCTAACCAATCAGCTCTCAGTAGCAGTAATGCTAACCAGTCAGCACTCAGTAGCAGTAATTTTAACCAATCTGCACTCAGTATCAGTAATGCTAACCAATCAGCTCTCAGTATCAGTAATGCTAACCAATCAGCTCTCAGTACAGTAATGTTAACCAATCAGCTCTCAGTATCAGTAATGCTAACCAATCAGCTCTCAGTATCAGTAATGCTAACCAATCAGCTCTCAGTATCAGTAATGCTAACCAATCAGCTCTCAGTATCAGTAATGTTAACCAATCAGCACTCAGTATCAGTAATGTTAACCAATCAGCTCTCAGTATCAGTAATGTTAACCAATCAGCTCTCAGTATCAGTAATGCTAACCAATCAGCTCTCAGTATCAGTAATGCTAACCAATCGGCTCTCAGTAGCAGTAATGCTAACCAATCGGCTCTCAGTAGCAGTAATGTTAACCAATCGGCTCTCAGTATCAGTAATGCCAACCAATCAGCTCTCAGTAGCAGTAATGTTAACCAATCAGCACTCAGCGGCAGTAATGTTAACCAATCAGCTCTCAGTATCAGTAATGTTAACCAATCAGCACTCAGTATTAGTAATGTTAACCAATCAGCTCTCAGTATCAGTAATGTTAACCAATCAGCTCTCAGTATCAGTAATGTTAACCAATCAGCACTCAGTATCAGTAATGTTAACCAATCAGCTCTCAGTATCAGTAATGTTAACCAATCAGCTCTCAGTAGCAGTAATGTTAACCAATCAGCACTCAGTAGCAGTAATGTTAACCAATCAGCTCTCAGTAGCAGTAATGTTAACCAATCAGCTCTCAGTAGCAGTGATGTTAACCAATCAGCTCTCAGTAGCAGTGATGCTCATGTCTGCCTTAATCCTGTTTGCTGTAGAAAAAGGAAACATACAGGTGAGTCTTCTTTTATTTCGATTAGATTTCGACTAAGATTTAGATATTTAGTGTAATTCATTCTTCTACTTCTCTAATTTAACTGAGGTTCCTGCACGAGTGATAAAAAACCAGTTTAATGTTTCATTTTTAGCCACTTTTAAAATTTTTCTCTTATTCATGTGTCTTCAGTCGTTTATGGTACAGGATAAAATGCAACATTAGCCAACGCGAGAAAACAACGAAGACTTTCTGAAGAAAATCTTAAGAAGATAATTAAGATTATCTTAGGAGAATATTTGAACTTTTTTTTGAGAATTGCATTTAAGAACATTCTTACGAACTTCTCAGTGCTTGGTTGATCCAGTATTTCTTGTTAAAGAAATAAAATGTGCAAAAATGCAAGAAGTCAGATATGAATTATATTAAGTGAAGTATTTCAGTGTGAAATGCAATAATTATATTTAAATACAGTGTCACAGACATAATCAGGGGCCGGAGTCACGAAAACTTTCTTAAGGAAAAAACTTGTGAAGGTTTTAAGACAAACACTCAGAAGTGCACAAGAAAGTTCTTAAATGGAATTCTCAAAAAAAACTTAAGTTCTTGAATATTCTGTATTTATATTCTGTACACTGTAACTGTAGTTCTACAGTTACAGACTGTAGTCCATCTGTTTCTCTGATAATTTGTTAGCCCCCTTTTACCCTGTTCTTCAGTGGTCAGGACCCCCATGGACCCCCACACTATTTGGGTGGTGGATCATTCTCAGCACTGCAGTGACGCTGACGTTTTTACATTGCTTCACTTCTTTAGTGAAAAACAGTAAATGAAATTTTCATTTTAAGAACAAAATGCTGAATGAATTTTTATTTATTTATTATACCTTTAATTTAACCAGGCAAGTCATTAAGAACGTATTCTTATTCACAGTGGTGGCCTGGCGAGCAGCAGGAGCCACCTGAGGAAGGGGAAATACAGAAGAGGGACAAAATAACAACAGGAAACCAATAAACCCCCTAAGACAACAGCCCAAAAAAGAACAGTTGACAACATACGCCAAAAACAAACACAACGGCAACAGAAACGATGAGCCAAAAATAATCAGGACAGAGAAACAGATGCAGTTCCTGTAACTGGTAATGGTGAACCCAGTTTGGTGCTATACAGAAAACGTTCTCAATCAATCTGAAGAACGATTTCGCTATGCAGAGAACCATTTAATCAAGCAAAGGGTTCTTTGAGGGTTCTCCTGAAACTATACAGTCAGTGGAGCTGATAGAGTGGACAGTGAGTGTAGATACAAGGAGGTGTTCCTAATAAAGTGCTCAGGGAGTGAACGTTCGAATATAAGCGTCCAAAAGGAATTACGCTGGAATAATGGAGTCTGTGAACTACTGTGAATTGTACTAAGGTGAGTCTGGCTTTGACAGAGCTGTGGTGGCTTCAGAGGAAGGATTTCTATGTAAAAAGCTGATCTTGGCCTTGACCTTTGACTGCAGCTTGAGAGGAGGATAAAGAGCCGTCTAACCAGATGCCTATTCAGAAATCAGAATTCAATACAATCCACCTTGCAGTGTGATAAAGGCGCAGCTATAATGCTTTACACAGTGCAGTACTACATAAACATGTTTCTGTTTAAATGCAGTCTGCATTTCACTGATTTAGCTGCATTTCATTGAGGCAAACACATCTGAAGTACAAAAATGAGGTGAAAACAGTGTAGTGGGGGTTTTGCTTTTCATTTTGGCACATATTCCGCAAGTCTCTATGGAAAAGTCATGTCACTGCAGTTCAGTTTTCACGGTTATGAACACATTTTCAATTAGAATTTTTAATATAATGCTTAATTTTCTCTCTTTTAAACATATTATTTTAGATAGGGATTGTGTGGGCGCCTGTCTCCCGGGCCCTGATGACAGCCACAAGAGCCAGCAGGAAGGCAGGGCCTGAACCCTGACACGAGTCCCAAACTACATGCCCACATTCAATCCAGGCAGCCAAGCTGGGGAGCGGAGGCATTGACGGGGAGGCGGAGCAACGAACTCTGTCCCTCTCAGCTCTGTTCAAAGACACTTGTGCTGGTTAAGGGCAGTGTGAGCTCCTGAGCTGAGAGGGACAGACAGTTTGTTGCTGCGCCTCCCAAGTCACCACCCCCCGCTCCCCAGCTCAGCCGCCAGGATAGTCTAGCGGCCTTGCTGCCCAACAGGAGGTGGCGCACAGGAGGCGGGGCTCGGGACTCGTGTACCGTCCAACACGAACTCCCGGTTCTTCTCTCCCCACCGTCCTCGCAGGGTTTCCTCCTTGCTCAGGGCTCGGGCCCGGATGACAGCCGTGAGATCCGGCAGGAAAGGGGGACGGGCGCACGGCCGATACCCAGTCCGATACCATAACAAATTACTGGTAAACCATTAAAATTCAGCTGAATTTAATGAAGTGAATTAGCTAGCTATGCTACATTAGTTATCTCTGATCGAGCAGCGCTGCAGTGAGAAGAGCAGGTTTTGTTCCCTGGTAGAAAAGCTCTTCTGTTCAGCTGTGAGTAAAGTAGGTTTCATAGTTTTGATCCTCATCTGTCTCTTTCAGCAGCAGCACAGCGACTGCAGGAATCAAGAAAACAACTTTTCTCATCTTGAGATGACAAGAAATATAATTTGTGATATTTAGAAAACAACTTTTTGTTATCTTGAGATCGCAAGAAAAATAAGTTGTGATATCGAGATAACCTTTGTCATCTTGGGATCACAAGAAAAATGTGATATTGAGAAAACAATTTTTGTTATCTTGAGATCACAAGAAATATAAATTGTGATATTGAGAAAACAACTTCTGTTATCCTGAGATCACCAGAAAAAAAAAGTTGCGACATCAAGAACAAGCTTGACATTGTAACAACAGAAGACGTGGCGAGAGAGGAGATTAACCAGAGTGTTGAGGAAACAAAATTCTTTCCATTTGTTTTGTTTCTTATTTTGTTTGTTATGGTTTTGTTGATCAGACCTGATAGCGAAGGCTGCTGAATCGCTGCACATTCTGTTGTTGTGTAAATCCTCATACTGAATAATAGCAATAATAATGTTAACCCTCTACCGCACGCATTGAGAGTAATTTAAAAAAATCTATTCACTTTTCTTGCATAAAATGGGGCTTGATTTTTTTTTTTCAGACCTGATTACTAAATTAAAAAACATTAAAAATGTGTGCAGGGGCCCTTTTAGATTATGTTGCATTGATTCAACATTGTGCGACAATGAGAAGAAATGAAATAGAGGCAGAAGTGGTGAGACCTGGCTTGTGACTGGCTGAATTAATTCCTCTGTCGCACAATGTTGCCTCTAGGCAACAAACATATTTTTGCAAATCCTCATAACAAAAAAATGATACTGAATGTTAAAAAAATCTGTTTAAATGTGCCCACTAAGAGAAAGTACGACCAAGTACCTGCTTTTTATTGACTTACTCAAACTCTTCCCTTTGTTAATCCTATCGTTGTCGTTAAACATGTGTAATGTTGCCCTGAGGCAACATTGTGCAATAGAGCGTTAATAACAATATGTTAGAGTTATACAGCACCTTTCACAAACCCAAGGCCGCTTTACAATATCAGAGGGAAAAAAGTATTAGAGGGAGTGAGAGTATTCAGAAAAAGGCAGGTTGTTAGCTGAAGATGGAGAGAGGGGTAAAAGAGCGAACAGATGAAGTTCCAGATGGTGGAGCAGCAACACTAAAAGACCTGCCATCCGTAGTGGAAAGACTGAACCTGGATTAAAAAAGATCTAAATAAAAAATTAGCACTTTTTTCTGGTTAATTCTGGTTGCCAGTTAAATTTGGCATTGATTATAAAATTCTTTTACTGACCTATAAAGCTCTAAACGGACTCGCCCCTCAGTACCTGAGTGAACTTCACACCTACTTAGATCACGGGGTGTTGCTCACTATTAGTACCTAGAATTAATAAAGCTACATCGGGGGGAGAGTCTTCTCATACAAAGCCCCCCAGCTTTGGAATAGTCTTCCTGTCAGTGTTCTGGACTCAGACACAGCCTCAGTCTTTAAGTCTAGGCTAAAAACTTACTTGTTTAGTGGAGCCTTTGGTAATTAGTTTTCCCTGTTAGATAAGAGGTGCAGATCCGGGGGTTCATGGTGGTGTAGTACAACACGGTAAAGTTAGTTTTATTTTCGATATTCATCTTTTCGGCATTTATAACATTTGATCGGACTATGGTCGTCAGTAAAGACTTACATTGTCATGATAGTACGACCAGAGAGAGTGATGCACACCTTTTCTTTTGCGGTTTGGGTGACATTTAACGTACCCCTCTTTTTGTGTTAATACCGAAAAAGTGAGACGAGATTTCCAACTGGAATAAAATGCATGCATTTCTAGACCAGACCTACATCCGTGCGCACACGTGTTTTCCTCCAAATCGTTTGTGCTTTTAAAAACATATTTCATTGTTTCCTTTAACAATAGATTCCATTGGACCAAATAAAAGAAAAAAGAAAAACCGTCAGTAGCTCCAGAACCACTGTGTCTATACACATCAGATTGATTGTGTTGTTTACTTTGATCTATGGTGAGAATTGCACACCACAAAAAAAATAAAACAAACTTTACTGTGGTATAGAACCTTATGGTGAACTGGGAGTGTTGGTGCTGTCGTCCCGCTGCTCTCACTCACTCACTCAGGTTTGCTGACGGTGGAGTGGAGGGGCGCCGACATCTCGGGGAGCCTCATGACTCTGTTACCTTTCTGGTTTCTCCCTCTTAGAGAGGCTGTAATAACTAGACCTGCCAGAGTCTCTGCTGCTCTGTTACACTGTAATCTGTGGTCAGTCACTCTGTACAGAACTGACTCTGTGTTTCCTTTCTTTGCTGAGTTGAACAGCTGCCCATCCTGTGGGTCTGATGCTGTTGCTTCTTCTGCCTTGATCAGGTGCCACTGCTCACCAGCCTTCTGGACCAGCTTGACCACCATTGAGCTTCATGCTGTACAACGCTGTGCAAACCTCACCCTCATGAACTGACCCTCCTGCTGCTGCTGCATAAACTCAGTCTATCTAATTAACCGTTGCTCCACCTGTTTTTCCTGTTTTGTATTCTAATATTTTATACTAACACTGTTTACTATCCAGTGTGGTCCAGAGGAGGATGGGTTCCCCTTTTGAGTCTTGGTTCCTCTCAGTGTTTCTTCTTCTTGCTCTTAGGGAGTTTTACTTTGCCTCTATCGCCATTGGTGACGCTCATGGGGGCTCGGACCCGGATTTTTCTGTAAAGCTTTGTGACGACACCTGTTGTAACTTTGACTTGACTCGAATTAAAAAATTCCAGAGAATAATTTCCCAAATCAGTTCTACACTGAGCTGAGCTGCGGATCTTGACTCTCCTGTCTGGATCTTTGGATTACATCATATAAGAGCTTTCAGCTGCTGCTCTGAGAAAAACTCCACATTTATTTTTTAGGTGAGCTTCAGTATTTCAGTTCTAATCAAGACTTGTTATTTTAACCTCACAGCTTTAAACAGCCCCGAAGGCGCCAAGAGGCAAAAGCCCGGCTTAAGAGTCTCAGTTTCTGGGTCAGTCTGGTGCAATTCAGCATCAAACACTGCAACAGCATTCGCTCAGTGTGTCATCACCCCGGCCACTTTATCAGAAACCCCTCCCCTGCAGCTCCACCACACTGGTGTTCAGTTCGAGACTGCAGCTCATCTGCTGGTGTAGTTTGAGTTCTCCATCCTCTAGTCCTTCAACAGTGGTCAGTTTCTGATGGTCCACTCTCAACCACCTCAGTGACACTGAGGTGTGTAAAATTAACACATACCAGCAGCATGCACAAACACTTCCCTCAGAGTCACTGCCGTGCTGAGAATGAACCACCACCTATACAATATCTGGATAACAGCAGGCCCATGGTCAGAAACTGACCAGTGATGAATGGCTAAGATGGGGGCTGATAAACTGCAGTAAGATGGACTACAGCAGTGGTCACCAGCCTTCCTCCTGGAGCTCTACCTTTCTGCACGTTTCACCTCCAACCCAACGGTAACGCACCTCGTTCAGCTAATTAAGACTCCTGATGGGTCAGGAGGGGTCAATTAGGGTTGGAGCTGAAGTTCGCAGGGAGATCTCCAGGTTGGTGACCACTGGACTACAGTCTGTAATGGAACACCTACATAGAAGCACAAGATGGGTGTTCCCAATAAAATGGCCAGTTTCAGTGGAAGCACAAGTGTTTCTAATAAAGCAGCCAGTTAATGGAAGCACAAGGTGGGTGTTTCTAATAAAGTGGCCAGTGAGCAGAAGCACAAGGCATTTCTAATGAAGTGGTCAGTTAAAAGAATCACAAGGTAGGTGTTTCTAATAAAATGGTCAGTTAATGGAATCACAAGGTAGGTGTTTCTAATAAAGTGGCCAGTGAGCAGAAGCACAAGGCATTTCTAATGAAGTGGTCAGTTAATAGAATCACAAGGTAGGTGTTTCTAATAAAGTGGCCAGTGAGTGGAAGAAAGTGGGTGTTTCTAATAAAGTGGCCAGTGAGTGGAAGAAAGTGGGTGTTTCTAATAAAGTGGCCAGTGAGCAGAAGCACAAGGCATTTCTAATGAAGTGGTCAGTTAATAGAATCACAAGGTAGGTGTTTCTAATAAAGTGGCCAGTGAGTGGAAGAAGGTGGGTGTTTCTAATAAAGTGGCCAGTGAGCAGGAAAAAAAAAGGGAAGGCGTTTCTGATGAAGTGGCCAGTGAGTGGAAGCACAAGGTGGGTGTTTCTGATAAAGTGGCCAATCAGTAGAAGTAAAAGCTGGGTGTTTCTAATAAAGTGGCCAGTGAGTGGAAGCATATAGTAGTACTTTGTAATGTATTACATGGTAAATAAGCAAAAACTTGTACATTTACAGTTTCAGGCCTGCATTAAAAATGGGACACGACAGTTTTGGATGACTTTACTCATTTATTAGCTTTTATAAGGACCTTTACAAGCACAAGACGGCTTGAGTGTTCACAACCTGTGCAATGCGGACATTGCAAAAGTGACCTGACCAAGCTGGAATGCTCCTCTTTCCTTTCCCACACAGTTAATTATCTAACACTATGAAAGCAGGTAAAATCATCCCGACGGTTCAGAGCGTCCTCGGAAGGGGGCACTTCCTCTGCGAAACTCAAGAGGGACGGGGGGGTGGGGGGTAAGAAGTAGTACAAGAATAAGAAAAGAAAAAGTCCTGCTTCGAGGAATTGGTTGCGGGTCTTTGTTCGTGACTGGTTGCCATGGAAACCAGGGTTCATATTGTTAACAAAAACAAAAAAACATAACAAATTGACCCGAAGTACCACAACCGATAGGGGAATGTTTGATATCATTTTATTTTGGGTTCTTTCAAGAGCAATGGAAAAATATAACCTTATACAAACATCTGATTCTTTCTCTCTGTTTAAACAAGCTTGGAAGGCTCCCTTTCCCAACCAAGTGCAGCAAAAGAGCTTAAACGGGGCAGAAAAACCCAAGCACATTCTAATCGACAGGTCAATTACAGGCTCGTTTTTGCATTTTATTCATTTTTTTTTTAAAAGGCGAATGCATCGTCATTTATTCTACATTGCATCAATGCACAAATTTAATCTACCAGCCTGTTCTGAATTAATTTGGCACTTTTTTTCCTGCGATAAAAAAAAAAAAAAAAAAACAATATATAAATGAACGAGACCTCAGTGTGTTGAGTTGAATCGAAGTGCTTTCACCTTCAGCCTAAGACAAATGATCCCTTGTGCATTCCCAATAGTGCTAAAACAGAAATAACCAGTCTTTTGCCTCAGAGTTGCCCTTCGCGAAGGCTAATGAAAAGGATCTGCGTGACCTTAGAGCCCACACTGATGACCAGGAGGCCGGGAAAAAGAAAAGCAAAGGAAAAGGAGGGAGGGAAAAAAAGAAAACAAAAAAAAATGAACACGTGTCAGTGATTGACTTGCAGAAAATAAGGGAAGAGCAGCTTTTTGATTCAGTGAAGTGCTGCTGCCAATCATCCACACCCTCGGCTCTCCCTTACATAGGCTTCAGAAGTATATACCTCACTGAAATTGCGTCAAGCTACGTATCGTTTTTTATTATTTCTCATTAGCTGAAAGAACAGAAGAGGTGGGGGTGAAGTAGAGACAGCGGACCCCCTCCCCTCACTCACACAGACACACACTCTCGGGCAGGCCGGTCAGCTCCGGCCTCGGCCATCGTCAACTCCAGCAGCGATCGTTTTTGTTTTTCCTGTCGCGCAATGGCAGTTTATTGTATGATTCCATTCCCCTTCCCTTGCTGTCGAACACGTGAACAGGTAACACCTCCACGTCGGAAGCCATAGTGCTTATAAAGAAGAAAAAAAAACCCAAAAAGAAGAAAAAAGAAAAAGGAAGGGGGTTCACACGTATCCACTGAATGAGTGAAGTAGTCCTTTCGTTGCCAGAATGACCAAGAGAGCACGCGTTTCGACCGTTAGCCCCTTCTTCACGCTCATCATGGTCCAGTTTGACTATTTGTCGTTTAATAAGTGCCTACGTAGGATCTAGCCAGCTACAGCGAGAAAATAAATCCAGTTCATGGTGTTCTTGTTGGTGTCGGTCAGTCCACAGGTGAAGGAGGAAGGGTGGTGGGGGGTGGGGGTTCAGGTTGAGAAGGGAAAGGGTTTTGTTTCATTGTATTTTTCAGGAGGGAGGGACAGGGGGCGCTGTTTCGTCTGCCGGCGACTGACTGCTGGAATTGTACTCAGAAGGTGGTGTGATGTCATTCGTTCACTCTCTCTCTCTCTCTCTCTCTCTCTCACTCGCTCGCTCTCGCTCACTCTCAGACACTCAGCTCAGCGCACACTGCTCTTCTGCTCCCACACGCGCGTGCAAAACACACAACTAACTCCACTGGGCCGCTTCTCTTCAAGGGTTCTGAAAGGTTCCCCCCAATCAGCGACAGATCTGGAACAGAGGAGGAGGAACGTCAAGAGAAACCTCACACAGTTACATGTGGAAAGGCGCCACATTTGGATTCCAGCAAGAAAACACAAAGACTCTGCAGGCTTGTGATATCATGAGCAATATACCACTGCCTGATTGCGCCCCCTAGCTACTGCCCATGTCACTACCACACCGTCTGAGCCTGATTGCATGCAGTGTTTGTGATGTATGTAACGTTCAGTGCACCCACCAGGCCTGACTCTTGAGCTTGCGGAGCTCCTTCGTGGCCCATGTGGCGAGAGTCTTGGTCTTGCTGGTTTTGGACCTTCGGCCCTCAGTGAGCAGATCATTAATCTGGGGCCGAACCTCCACCATCTTCATCACATCTTTACCAAAGGTCGTGCACAGGTCACTAAAGACAGAGGAAATAAGAGACTTAGCAACCTTATCATTCACTGAGCCACATTCATAATGCATGAGATTAGAGTGAAAGACCTAGACTGCTAAGTACTATTAGACATTTTAAAATGTGTAATTAAATTAATGCATATTACTAATTTAAATTCTTTAAGATTTAGCCTAATGATTATACTAGATGAATACAATTAAGTGCCTGAAAACATCCACTTCCGCTTGCCAGAACAGCTGGAGCGAAAATCACTGACACTTTACAATTTGTAGAAACCTGAGTACGTGAACAGTGTCTGTGTTAACATGCAAAGATTTTTGCCAATGATTGAATTCATTCTGATTACAGATTAAGACTGAGGTATTTTTATCTCACCCTACCCAACAATCTGATGTAAATCTTTGTTTACATGCTCACTACAAGTAATCAGATCCGCGCATGGGTAGAGAACCGCTTAGTGCAGACGTTACCATGACAACCAGCATCACGCGAGTCCAGTCGGAGTGAGACGAGCAGCAGTGAGCAGCGCTTGTGTTTATAATTGCTTTAAAATGATGTCAGACTCAGGAAAACGTCCTTCACATGTCCTTATTAAAGAAGGCCGAGAGGAAGACGTCGTGTTCTGAGACACATAAGCTGGACGTCCGTCCCACCGCCGTCTTTTAAAGATCAGAGCATAAACTTCGTCTCCTCTGCAGACCAGTTTCTGCTCCGCCATGTTGAACGCTATAAACTTTCACTATGACGCGACGAACATGATCAGAACGCACTTAAACTTCCCGATAGGGAATGTAATCAGATACAGGCGTTTAGACAGATATTATTCTTCTATTTAACGGATTATTCACAGGATTACCCACCTCGATCAGTCGGATAGAAAATGTATTCCGAATGGCCTCAATCGGACTGGACTATTCTGACTGAGGTGTTTACCTGGATGTATTCTATTCCGATTGAGCTATTAGTCGGATTATTAGCCTGCAGGTGAATGTGGCTAGTGTTGCGTTGCTAGCTGAAGCGTGCATGTGTACGTGTAGATTAAAGCAAGTAAACCGCAGCTCTAACATGAAATACACCAAAGAACTACAGAACCATTCAAATGACACCTAACCCATGAACTGCTGGCTTATTTTGTACTTACTATGACAATCAGCAACAACTACAAGTTACTCTGTAACTACTATGAAACTAAATGTGCAAGTTATGAACTGTGTGGTTCTCAGAGTTCAGAAGGTTAAATAATGATCAATAATAAAGCTTTTCCAGGCCTAGATTAAGCCTAAGCCTAGGCTAAATGGAATTTTAAACTGAGAAATGCTACTAACGTTGCAGGTTAGTCCAAGAAGAGGTTTAACCCAAGTCTACAAAACAAGGCCTAAGGGTTAAAACTCAGAGGTAAACTAAGGAAACTAAAAAGGCAGCAGCGCTTGGGCGATGCTTTACCCAATGAGGCCGACAGCGTTAGCCACGACTCCGTCAGAGTGATCCTCATCCTCGGCGATGTGGTGGATGAAGGACAGGATGAACTCCACACGTGGCTGCACCAACATCACATCAGCTAATAAGAGGGAGAAAAGGAGGACCGTGAAACTGGAGGTAAAACCCAGCTATAAGTAAAGGAGCTCTGTTCTAGTTGGCTGCCCTGTAACTTCAGCATGAGTGGGTGGAGCTAAACAGCTGCAGGCTAAATGGGTGGATATTTAAATATGAAGACATCACAAAAAAAAAGAATTAAAAAAATCATTAATTATGCAGCTTAATATTCACCCATCCATATGGAAACTGTTTTGAAACATGATTTTTTTATCTGCTCTGTGATGTCCACTTAAACTGCCTGTGTGTATATAGCCAGGGTGTTCAACCATGCGAATGTACGTCTGAAGGTGAACTCACGGTGCACGTTCTCCTGGTCTCCCTTTAGGCCCTGGATGATTCCTGTGTAAGCCTCCAGACAGCCTTCCCTCAGCTCATTCAAATAGTCAACCATATCATAGTCTGTCTGCAATGAGAGATAAAACTTCATCAAAAAAAATTACATAGATCTTCTGAAAACAACATGGATCCATTTTCCCCTTATAATGCACAGGCAAGCAACAAAAATTAATCAGAGAGCAACTATGAATATAATAATCACATTTTAATCAGCCTAAAGTAAACCACAGGGCCAAATCCATTCTAATGGGTTAAAAGCCAATGTTAGACATGTAGAATCCTACAATTACATGACTTACATAATTAATACTTTCAAACTTGCCTCCATTAACATATGTGATGTCAAAGGCATTCAAAAGATGTTGATCTTCACAGAGGACTAAACAGGGAGGTAAAGCACTCTGAAAACAAACTACCTGGGTGGAGTAAAGTGCAAAAATGCAGTCTGAAGGAGATTTACTGCGTCGATTTTCAAACACCAAATAACGTTCGCACTCTTTCTGACCAAAAAAATCGAACTCCATGATCCACTAAACTGTTTCTCAAACAAATGTAATGAAACCGAAGTCCGAGATTCACAACCTGAAAGTAACCCTTAAAATGAGGGCCGTAAATGTGTTACCTTGTCCACTTGTGCCTGAGACGCCTGCTGCAGAGTGTCCAACACAACCTCCAAATACTTCTTAAACTCTCCTCCGATGGCGAGGGCAATGTCACCGAACACAGACAGGATCTGGGGCTTCACAGACCTGTGCACGTTCTCGTTCTACACACACACACACACACACACACACACACACACACACACACACACACACAGAGAGAGGGTGAGGCGTTTTACAGCAGTGCAGAGGGCAGCAACAGCCTCACTGACCGTGTCAGAGCGAGATGAGTGGCCGTTTATATAAAAGACACTTACACCCAGGTTCTCCAGCAGCAGCTGCATGATTTCATCACAGTAAGGCAAAATGTTGGCCATCAGGGCCCGACACAGGTCACACACCAAACCCACCGCAGCCAGACACACCTGCAGATACACAAGAGGAGAGTCAGGCTGGCTGGCCTAAAAACAGAGCTAACAAACCCACAACTCTGAACAAATCATTAAATCTCAGTATTTATAAATGAGAGATGCACTGAAATCTAGGCCACTGAACACAGCGCGTAAACATAAACCAAAAGAAAAAGTTCTTTGATTTAATTTGCCATATTATTTATGCTTTGAAGTGATAATGCTGATGCTTCAGAAGGGCCTAATCACTGTGTTGGGAAAGAACTGAGAGAACTAGAGGACTCCGTTTTAAACAGCTTAAATGATATTAAATACTAAAAGTTGTAAAATTATAAAAATATAAAACTTCACCAATACATGGTTTTTCAAAGTTATCTAAACTGAATTCCAGAGCTCTGCCGCCAGCATGATGGAAAACATTTTTTTTGGAATATACACAGTGTGGACTTCGGAACTCCAGCCCTTTTTGCAACAGGGGGCGCTATTAGCACACAAGTCTGTCATTTAAAGCAAAAAAAAAATAAAAAATAATAAAAAATAAACCCCGCCATGAACCCACATCAGCAGGATCTAACGAAAGCACACGTTTATTCTTCGGGCTGAATGATTTGGGCAAAATATCTAATTGCAATTTTTCTGACTAATATTAATAAATTGCAAGTATTTTCTTTAAATCGTAGTTCAGACCTGTTTTTTCTAAACCAAGACCAGAATATCCACTTTTTCTGACTTTAGGCTTGAGACCTCAATCTAGTGAGCCAGAAAGCCAGTATATTATGGTTGTCATGTCAACATGGAGGTCTGGTTGCCTTTGATTGGTCTAACTCTACAGGCACTATGTAACTGTTACTGCGTTAAATTTACCCTCTTAAAACTTAACATAACGTAGACCATAATTAAAAAAAAATTGCAAAATAACGCGATCCGAAAACTGCACTCTTCTAAATTGCATTTTTCAATATGACAATAATCTTTTAGCCCTATTTACAGTAACTTTCAGAACCAGAGTTTGAAAAGCTACTATAAGATAGAGTTTTAATCACTATTTCTCATCTCAAAGTGCCACCTTTGACCATTTCCAGCTAACTTGTTCAGAAAGTGCCGACAGCCCATTGTAAGAATTTTGGGAAAAGTCTGTAACTCAGTAATGTCCTACTGAAAGGCCCGACTTCAGTAAGGGTCTTGAATTTTGGCGAAGATTTTCAGTGCATCCCTACAATAATGTGTTGAGTACCATCATAACCAGAATGTATAGAAACAGCCCCGCTGCCTCACAGACTGGGTTAGAGGGGCTCTTTAATCTGTGACGACCTAAAAACCCGACATGCTAGACCTCACAGCAGCAGGAGGAACTGTCGTCACTCACTCGCTAACGTCATTTAATTCTTTTGGTATTAGTGTCATTTCCAAGATCTTTTAATACAATAAGCTACAGGCGAGCATGTAAGAAAAAGCCATATACCTGATACTCAGCATAGTTCTTGAGTCCAATAACCAGGAAGGGTTTGAAGGCATCCATGTATTTCAAGAAATCGCTGCCCAAAACTGCAGAGGAACAGAATATAGGGTGAGCATAGTTACTATCACTGACCATTTTATCAGAAACACCTACAACTACAGACTGTAGCCCATCTGGTACTACACAGTTTATCGGCCGCCCTCTACCCCATCCACAGGATCACCATATGGGACCTAAAGGGACCACCATTTGAGTGGTAGCCCACTTACTATCCACAAAAGGGCCTTAAAACTTAAATAAATAATAATAATTTGGTCTATAATAACCTGGTCTAGAGGACGGCTAACAAACAGCAGTCTAACTACAAGAGAGGTGGAACTACGAGAGCATTCTGATAAAGAGGTTGATGTGCATTTGACACTTAATTGTAGTAAAGAGTGAAAAAAGCTTTACTTCACATTGAGTGAAAAGTTCATGATGAATGGACCAATAGAAATGCTTTGAAATCACTTTAAATAAAATCTTTTTACATTAACTTACATTAAAAGGTAAGAGTGTTTTTAACTTCTCCTGTAAAGTTACCATTTTGAAGGTACTTCTTTGTTTTCGGACAGCGACAATTTGTATCTGTCTTTTCAAACATCAGTACTGAAGAAAATGTTTGGGGGGGTAGTGTGTGTGTGAGATGAAAATATAACCAGAAAAGATTTTTTTCATTGGAAGAACAAAACAAGCGGAAAATTACAAAAAATATATATTTTGAAGAGAGTTGGGGAAAAATAACAGTGTCAACACAGGCAAAAAGGACTGTTAAAGCTAAATTCATACAAACAGCCACAATCCTAAACCATCCTCCCATTACAGTTTAAATAACGTGTCGAGTCCCATCGTATCCAGAGTGTACAGACGACAGCCCCACTGCCTCACACACTGGGTTAGAGGGGCTCTTTAATCTGTGACGACCTAAAATCCTGACAAGCTAGACCTCACAGCAGCAGGAGGAACTGTCGTCACTTGATAACGATTCATTTCCCTTCTGTGTTTGATTTGGAGCATCCAACACTCAAAAGAGTGTTTTTGACTTCTCCTGTAAAGTTACTATTTTGGAGGTACTTGTTTGTTTTTGGACAGCGACAATTTGTATCTGTCTTTTCAAACATCAGTGTTAAAACAGGGGCTGCTGACCTTCTACTAGAGTGCTGACAGCCATGAGCGCGTCCTCCTGAACGCCGCCCGAACCGGCCGTGCTCTGGAACATTCGCAGGAGAGAGGCCATCACCACGTCCGAAATCTGCAGCGCGTCCTGGTGCTGCACCTTCCGCAGTACATTCTTTAGGACAAAAGCAGGACAAGGAGACAGAGGAGAGATTAAAGTCAGTGAGGGTGGAGGAGAAATGTGGCTCGCTCTTAAAGAAAGCTGAACGAAGACGGGTTCATAAAACTGCTGAAACAGACCTGCAGTGTGGCGCACAGCAGAGACTGGAGGTCATTGAACTGGATCCGGTCTGACGTGCTCTGGATGTGAGACTGCAGGAAAAGAGAAGAAAGTTAAATTCCTCAGCACTGACATCAGCAACTCCGCTAGCTAACCGTTTTAAACCAGGGCTTCCTTTAAAGCTCATTAAATGTCAGAACGGCTTTATACACAGATTTTAGACTTTGGAACATAAAGGCCACATTCATAATACACGCCTTAAAGCTCTTTTTGTTCCATGAAAATTCATTGAGGCTCAAAAATGACCCACATTTGTCATTGTTACCTTTATGAAAAAGCCAGTTTTTGTCATTTAAGAGCAAATGTTATTTATACTGTGTTTGGCTAATAGAAAGTTCTGGAAATGTGCCAGTGTGGTTTGTGTGTTCATTTAGCCCACACAGGTTAACTTCAGGTTTCTCAAAACCCCACACATTAAAAATTAAAATATACCACAGAAACTGCACACCACTCCCATTATGTTCTGAAGAAAAAATGTTGGGGATTGGGTTGTGTGTGTGTGTATATGATAGAAATAAAACCAGAAAAGATTTTCATTGAAAGAACAAAGAAAGAAAAAAAAAAAAAGAACTATTTTGAAGAGACTTGGGGAAAAAATAACACTTCTAATGTCAACACAGGCAAAAAGGACTGTTAAAGCTAAATTCATTTAGCTTTCCATTACAGTTTAAATAACGTGTCGAGTCCCATCGTATCCAGAGTGTACAGACGACAGCCCCACTGCCTCACACACTGGGTTAGAGGGGCTCTTTAATCTGTGACGACCTAAAATCCTGACAAGCTAGACCTCACAGCAGCAGGAGGAACTGTCGTCACTTCTGTGTTTGATTTAGAGCATCCAACACTCAAAAGATCTGGACCAGGCCATTCTGTTTGCCCTTCCAGTGGAACTGACCTCCATCTGCAGAACCTGCTGCAGGCGCTCCATGATGACCAGCGTTGTTTTCTGCACGGCGGGGTAGCAGTCCTTAGCACTGTTCTTCACTATCTCCATCAGAGCCTCGTAGGCTGCACTGCGCAGGTTGTTCTGGTGTCCGTCCGGTCTGATGGAGCACAGCAGACACGTTATACAGGAATAACTCACACGTACATCTTCAACAATTTGCTCTTCGTACTTAATGGCAGGACTTTCTGTAGACCTGCGTTCACCACACTGGGCGTTACAAGATATCCCATTCAGATTTTCATCAGTGAACTGTCTCTGCCTCCTTTACGTTATCTTGATTAACCTCAATGATCTCCAAATTATGCAGTGTTTCTGCCACGAGTACAGTAACCATAGATTACTGTTCTTAAAAAAAAAAAAAAATAAGGATTTCATCTGGAAAGCAGTGATAAACATATTAGAGAAAGCTCTTAAGTCCTAATACTCTGAAGCATCAGCCTCAAAACCATCCTGCATTGGCACATCATTGCACATTCCAAGGCCTGGGCAGCTTACCGGTCAGTGGTTTCTAGAAGTTTCTGGACTATTAGCTCGAAAGACGAGGAGAGGCAGTAAGTGCTTGGCTCCTCCTGATCCTCGGCAGCATCTGTGGCTTCGTACGCAGCTTCAGCCAAACTGGAGAAAGCCTGCAAAACAGAGAGCACATTAAACAAGTCCTATCTTTAAACTGTAACAGCAAACTGCTGTTCAACTGAAGCATCATCTCTACTGTAAGTGGATTTGTTTTTCCCAAAGGAGGTTGCATAATTTGTGGGATTTGATTGGCCAGTTGGTTTGGGATAAACTAATTTCACCAAATTATCAAGCAGACAGCTTGAAAACATACATCACAACTGTGTCTATTAGCAGCTTTTGCTATCTCATTAACATGAGGTGGACTGGAACAGAAGTACTATTGCAGTCATACTGGATTAAAATCGCTCTGTAAAACTACACACACTGCAGATTCATACTGGATTAAAATCGCTCCACAATTATTACCATCAGACTGTAAAACTACACACACTGCAGATTCATACTGGATTAAAATCGCTCCACAATTATTACAGTCAGACTGTAAAACTACACACTGCAGATTCATACTGGATAAAAATCGCTCCACAATTATTGTAAGAACAAAAACTACATACAGCAGATACTGGATTTAACCACTTGTCGCCACCAGCCTAACTGAATGCAGCTCCATCAGGGCTTAACTTTACCAGTAGAATGTGAAGTGTCAAAGTGTCGAGCCCCTCATTATCCAGAGTGGACAGAAACACACACTGGTTTAGAGGGGCTCTTTAATCTGTGACGACCTAAAATCCTGACACGCCAAACTTCACAGCAGCAGGAGGAACTGTCGTCACTAAACTGCCCATTTCACCATGTTCTCATTCTTTCTGTGGAACTGTTTGGTTTCTCTTGACACCAATAATGTCCTCGTACATCTCTATTTGGTGAAAAGACTTCAGCTCTGAAACGTGAGATTAAATGTCAGTTTAAAGAAGTAATTTCCTGCTACACAGCAGGTCACCACACAGTTTGAGTCTATTAGCAGCACAGGGTTATATGAAGACTATAAGTCAAACCACACAGCCCAAAGCCCTGTGGCACTGTGGGCATTAAGAGTAAACAATCACCTTGTTAAGAAGACAGAAGGTAATTATTTTCTGCTAAATCTCTTCATAGGAGGCAGAGCTACGCTGTAATTAGGAGCATGTGATATAAAAACAATACGATTCTCATTCTCATCATATACAGTTTGCCTCATGAGATTAAGGCACAAACACACAAAAAATAAATAAGCAGTGCCCCATTTCATAAAATACTATCAAAACTATGAATGCAATGACTTGTATGTAAGATCACATACAGCACTTCAGTTATACCCAATTATCCAGGCCTAGTATTTATGTTCTCTTTAATAAAAGATGGTTAATCAGCGTTCTGTAACTACTGACCATATCTACGATAAGCTTACTAAAAGCATATCAATGGGACAATGGCGTAATTTTAATTAAATTGTAATATGCAAATAAGCCAGTCACTCAGAGTTATTTTGGTGTGCTGTGAACCATCACAGATGTTCTCTCTCGTTCTTCTCTCTTCACTTGTCTTTCAAATATCTGCTGTTCAATGTGTGTCAAGACTACCCCTTTAGAGCAGGGGTCGGCAACATGGAGCTCTTTCACTGCCCTGTTGTGGCTCCACAGCAGAATCAGGTTTGTAGGTAAAAATAAAATAATCCTCCTTTACAGTAAAATAAAGCTCTGCTGATCGTTCAACACAGTTTAACAATAAATGGTCTTAAACTCTGGAGTTAATGTAGAACTGCTAATTCACCCTTCAACCCTGAGGACTGGCGCACAGACTACTGGTCACAGCAACTGATAGTAATTCGCCTGCTAGCAGTTAATGAAACAGCAGAGACAGAGATTTAAGGTGAATATTGATAATTTGGAGATGAATGGATTTATTTTCGTTTATAAGCCCTGCAGCTGGTGGATACGTTTAATCTGAAACAAAAAACTGAAACACTAAAAAGTCATCTTATCGTTCGAATTCTCGTTCCACCTTAAAATGGTGCCGCAGCTACATTCTGACGCCTCAGGCACCATTTAATGTGGAACAGGAATATTCAAACAAGAAACTGGCGAATGAGAAGCGACTTCAGCCTCATAAAAAAGTTGAATGTTGGGAGACATTTTTGAAGAAACTGTTCTACTTTTGCGGAAAAGTTTCCTGCTGGAGATGCAAGAAAAGCAGCTATAGCTGAGCTAAAGCTTAAAGCAAAGCAAGTCTGCGTTTTCGTTCACGTTTTTTTTATCCTATACTAGTACATTAGCGCACACAGACATATTTACAGCCAAGATGGTAAAATGGACATAAAATGTTGCTCCTAAAGTGGATTGATTTTTGTTAAAAGGACAAAATGGTTCTTTTTAAAACATTTGGGTGGCTGATCCCTGCTTTACAGGAACGGCTTTACAATAAACCATGAAAGATATGACCGAATCATTGAGTGTTGGGATGAAACAATGAGTCATCAAAAATAATGCAGGCCAATCGTTTAACATCAACAGTTCACTAATATGTTTACAAACTGTAACGGACACTACAGATGCAAAGTAACTACCATATGGTATCTGAATAGCGCCCTGCAGCCTTCACGCCTCCTCTAAACAAACCTTTCTATTGCTAAACAGATATTCAGCTGCATTTGGGAACAGTCTGAGTGAATCTGACTCCGTTTCAGCTCTAATGAGGTGGTGTTTACCCAGCAGACGTTGGAAGCCACGCGCGGCTCGGCCCCCAGCCCCTCTATCAGGCACTGCAGGAGAGGAGCCAGATAAACCTCATTGATGGCGGCCTCGGGCAGCAGGTCGCAGATTCGGCCAACCGTCCAGGCTGTGGTGTCTCTGACCACCACGCTGGGGTCCTTCATCAGCTCGATCAGGGTGGGCATCGCCTGCAGGGAGAGAGACAGTAACAGGAGGTCAGGGCTGTAGAGGACATCTGATCCAACACTGGGAAGCCTGAAAAAAGGGAAAAAAACTTTTTTTTTTTTTTTGCAGAGTTCTATGGAAATGCTGACCATATAAAAGATCTGACCATTTTTCCACTCATACTCTGTATCTTAAAGCCAGCAAAACTTATGGTGGACATCGTGAACTGGTGCACACAGCTTTCCAGTGGGATTAGTTCACAAAGTCAGTAAGTCAGTTAGGTGATGCAAAGTTATCATTTTAAAGAATTTAAATTCTTTAAATTCTTAATTTAAATATGTAGGGGGCGATATGGCTTCTACTGTGTCATTTAAAAAGTGCTCTATAATGTTCATATGATCCACACAGTCACTCTGACAGACTGTAATACACTACAGGAAGTGTAGGGGGCGATATGGCTTCTACTGTGTCATTTAAAAAGTGCTCTATAATGTTCATATGATCCACACAGTCACTCTGACAGACTGTAATACACTACAGGAAGTGTAGGGGGCGATATGGCTTCCACTGTTTCATTTAAAATGCGCTCTGTAATGTTCATATGATCCACAGTCATTCTGACAGACTGTAATACACTACAGGATGTGTAGGGGGCAACATGGCTTCTACCATTTCATTTAAAAAGCGCTCTATAAAGTTCATATTAAGGGCATATGAACTGCAAAGCTTGTATTAATAAAACGGTGCAATACATTGTTGCTCTCCTACTACTGAGTTTAAGCTGCGCTAGAGATTAGGTTATAGGGTGAAGTTACGTTTTTGATTAACCTGTGTCTCAATGACTGTGTGGATCATGAACATTATAGAGCGCTTTTTTACTGAAACAATAGAAGCTATATCGCCCCCTACACTTCCTGTAGTGTATTACAGTCTGTCAGAGTGACTGTGTGGATCATATGAACATTATAGAGCTTTTTAAATGAAACAAATCATGTGATCATGCATTCAAAAAAGTGTTAAAGAATTATTGAAAGTAGTAAAAACATTCTGATGAAGTTTAATTAAGATCACGTTTGAGCAAACGAGAGTAAAGAGCAAAAAAGGAGTGTGGACATCTTATTTTCAATAACTATGCTGTCCCATTGAGGACAGTCTTCATTTTAAGCCTGTCTTTTCCTGTCGGGTACGTGCAGTGAGAACACGCTCTGTGCTTGTTTACAACTTTAACACCAAGTGCTTATGATTTTCATGACATGATTATTTTCAGATGTTTGGTTCAGAGGGTGTGGGCTGAAGAGCATTTATGCAAGATTTAAAATATTCGCTGATCGCTTGGCTCTGCTCTCTCTGGGTGGGAGAGATGGCAGGAGTCCCTTCATCCCCGTTACTTAGCAACACAGCAGCCAGTCAGGTGTCAGTGCTGAGGAGTTCAGTGTGCTGAGGTACAGCGTGCCACTACACTGACAGAGCGTCGAGTTTGATGTGCGTTAGAAGTGGTTTGTGTCGTCTTTCGCCCAGATTTGTGGTGTTAAATTAAAGTTCCAGCTGTTGTACAATAGACATTTAATACTGAGTGATGACTCATCAGGGAGAGAGTGAGCAGCAGAGTTTTGGGGTGACTAATATTTTGCTTTCTCTGTTAAGTAGAATTGTTAAGGTTCACAAAATTCATAGTTTGGTTCAATATAATGTCTTGAATCGATACAGAAATAATGTACATTCAAGTAGGACTATGTAAATGTTAATAAATGTAAATGTTTATAATTGGCTGGCCATGAACCAATGTTAGCACTGAGCTAATATGCACATAAGATGAGTCTGCATTTTCTCCAAGTGCTTGATTTTAAGGTGAAGAGGAAGTGATAATTTCACAGGAGGGATGGTCTGCCCTCAATGTCGGCTTGCTTGTTGAAATTCTAAGCAGTGTATATATAAACTGTATTAGGCTGAGTACTTTATTCGCACCAGGTTGTTAGATGTAAGGTTGAAAATACTGTGTGTTTTTTTTATAGGTATCAGTGTTGAAATTCATACCTTTTTATGGTACTAACCGAATTAATTCAGTACTAAAGAGTATCGAAGAGTTCTCATTTAACACTGAATTTCATTAAGTTGTTCTACGGCATCTGTGAGTCACCTACGTATGTCCCCTCAATCATTCCTGGTTTAAGCTGCACCCTGTTTTGATTTGTAATTTAAAAAAAAAAAAAAAGTTCAGGAATCAATATTGAAATTGAGGGATGAGTAAGCGCAGCTCCAAATTTATCACTAATGTTGCATATTCCAACCAATGAGTGCACATCATACACACTAGGGATGCATTAATACCATTTTCCAGATAGAGTATGAGTACATATTTTTCAGTACTCACCGATACAGAGTCTGATACCATACTAAAATATCACCAAAATATAGCTGAATTTAACGAAGTGAATTAGCTAGCTGTGCTACATTAGTTAGCTTAAATCAAGTAGTGCTGCAGTGGAGAAGAGTGGGTTTTGTTCCCCGTCAGAAAAGCTGTTCTGTACAGCTGTGAGTTAAGCAGGTTTCATAGTTTTGATCCTCATCTGTCTTTCAGCAGTGACATTCCAAGGCTAACGCTTTGTGGGGCTCACACTTCCAGTTTCATGTCTTGCTGGAGTCTTGGCTGGTTGAGCTGTAGCTGAATGTCCTCAGACAATGATTTCAAAATCATTCTGTGGTGTCTCTCACTGTGCGTGTATGTATTGCATACAGACCAAGCCTATGATTTACATAATCATACTGTACAAAAACGGTCCATCTATGCTACATTAAACACAGCCTCTACAGACAGTTCTGTCTACGGACAATTACCAATAAAGCTGTTTCATTCCAAGCAACACGCTGTGTACCAAGTACTGAGCAAACATGCTGAGAAACAGATACAGCAACTCAGCTAAACACACTGTGCACTGAAATGTACCCAGTAGGACAATACAGTCTCTCTACAGCCTATTTTACAAAGACAGTTTTAAAAAATAAAGGTAAAAAAGAAAAGAAAATCTCTTATTTATTCCGCACAGTTCTATTTAGTCAAACACAGTAAAGTCGTCATATACGGACTTTGGTAGCAAATTATGTAAATTAGAACCGTTTTGTTCCCCTGTTCATAAAATTCTCACCGTAATATTTAAAGAGTTTAATAAAAATGAATAAATAAATCTAAAATGAAAAGGGTAAAATAACCAAACCTACTTTAGCCAAAGCTTCTATCTGCCGCTCACCTGGATAACAAGAGGTTTGAGCTGATTGAGCTCAGGGCCTTCCAAGATGGATCCAAAGGCCATGACTGAGGCGTCACGGTAGCGCCAGTCCGGGTGTTTGATGTTCTCTTTGATGAAGGGCAGAACGTGTGGCACCACGTCGTCCTCGCAGCAGGTAGCCAACAGCATCAAACACACACCGGCCGCCTTACAAGGGTTCCAGTCATCATCGTCATCATTCTCGTCCTGTTCACACAAAGGAAAACTAGGCTCGAAAACATGTAACGTGACCATTTGAGAGCAAATTCTGAAGTGGGGCAAATCAGGGAAGCACTGATCATCAAGGATCAAGGACTATTACTAGCCTTAATTATTAAAATTGTTAAAGCATACTTCTAGTACCATCATCAAATCACAATATTAATAACATTATTGATCTTTTAATGAGCCAAAAGGGCAGCTTAAATTCTTAAACGAAAAATCAGTAACATGAAAGTGCTGCATCAGAAGATGTGACTGGCTATTTAGTACAATGAGTCACGTATAATTATGCTACTGCATTTTTATCTCATAAAATTGCAGCACAGATTGGCCAAATCCAAAGTAATGACTCAGCCGACTGCCGTTCACATATTGGCTAAAACCTGGAGATTCCAATCAGGCAGATTCCCATTATGCATCCCTAGAGTAAACTTTAATTCGGAACTGCACTGCCCTCTTTATTTCACTCAGATTCAGATGTTAATTTGTAAAAGTCTGTCTTCAACCTTTACGTCCCCTAGTGCGCTTAAATGCCACCTAAAAAGGTCTGAAAGCACCGTTCCGGACTGAAAGTGAAAGAGATCGCTCTTCCAGTCACACCTCTGCGAAGCTGCCGTCTCGAGATGAACCCAGATAACCATCTCGGAGAAGTTCTGGAATTTTGCGTCTTTCTAATCAACACCTGCAGAACGTACGACACGTCTGGGTGTACATATTTCTGATTCCTTCACAGCCTCAGGCTACAGTGCACCATTCTGCCCGGAAAAGGTTCATACATCAACGTCTCTGACTAGAAACACACACATAACTGCTGAAAGATGATCAGAGTGGCTATACTGAACTAAGGGTGTCATTAAAGTTTACCTAATGGAAGAATCAGCAGTGATTAGCTGGATTAGCTCAATTCTCCGACTGCTCTCTTACAGTAAGAAACAGAGCCTGATGGACACATTTATATGCATTTTATCTCTAACAGGGCTAGTTTCATGGACAGACTAAGCCTAGTCTTGGGCTAAATTGCAATGCCAATGGTGTTTCACCATTAAAATCTTATTTAGTACAGGCTTTAGCATAATCTGGGTCTGGGAATCCAGCCCACAGTGTTTAGTTTTTTAAAGGGTTTAAGTCTTTAATAGCTTCCTAGCTGATGCACCCTGTTACAATAAATATTTTAGTTTTTTTTAAAGGCTCTGTATGCTACATGTATCTGTGCCTTTTGACCTCTTAGTCCTAGTTCTAGGAGCTCAGTGGTACAAAATATATAATATCCTCCCCCTTGAAAGATTAGCTTCTTTAGATAATAAAAAGTTTTATCAAGTTTGGGGTGAGTTCTTGGATTACACTAAACCGCCTATTAGGGATGTGCTACAGTGTTGAAATGGAGTAGGTTATGATGAATGGGACTGTCTTTGTACCTTTGGGTCACCTTTGGTATTAATGCTGATCATATTGATTGCAGTACTACTGATATTTCTCATTTATAGTATTTAAATTGTTTTTTTTTTTCAGTTTTCAGTATGTCATTATTCTGCATCATACATATCACACTGCATCTTATTTGTTTGCTATAATAAACAAGACTGGAGGGGAAAACGGGCTCTGTATGCTTTTGTTCATTGAAGTCCATTTTTATTGTCGTCTGATTAGTTCTGATTAGATCTAAAAATCTATAGATCAATCCATTACTAATATAATAGTTTGACAGCCCTGCTCCAAAATAGGTGAACAGCCAGCTTTCTGCTTAACTGAATGAATAAATAAATAAATAAATAAATAAAGTCCCACACTGTTGAGTCAGAGAATGGTATAAAGTGCAGTGGTGTTTTAGAGGAGCACCTGTTTAGTGAGCGTCTGTGTGAGGATGGGCACCAGATACTGCAGAGCTCCTTTAGCGTAGAACTTGCTGGTGTGCTCTGGGGGTCGTCCTTGTTCTGATGCCTGAGAGGGGAGAAGAATAAGAGTTAGAATGAGGGTCATAATCACACCAGAACTTTGACTCCAATAGCAGATGTATCACAATCAGAGATGCAATCGGGGCAAAAACGGCCCTTTATTCAACTGCTTTGACCCTTAAAACAAGTATGGGGCAATTAGCACACACCCAGCTAACTTTAATGCAATAAACTACATATTTATGTCCTAAAATTCTCTTGCTGACAACGTAACAATGTATTATCATTGTTTGAATGTGAGAGTACTCCCATCTGTGAGGCTCTACCATGGACAATGAGTCATCTACAGGCAGAACAAAGCCAATGTAATGTGAGCCTATTTAAATACAGAATTGCAAGTTACTACTGAATGGTTTACTAGGGATGCACCAAAATCTCAGCCTTCAAAAAGAGAAAGGAGTTCGCAAGTGATTAAATCTGCAAAGTGTCAAAACCTCACACAAATAATCTGAGTGGCCAATAAAATGAGAAATAGCAACTAAAAGTGCTGTTTTGTTTGCTCTCTTGTGCTGACCAGCACAGATTTAGTCAAACTGATCAGCAGATCAACAGTCAAACCCAAACAAGGTCCACTGCAGCTGCACAGTAACATTAACTGATTTAATAATTTTTTAATGGTAATCACATTAAACTAACACTGAGTAATAACACTGAGTTAATAACACTGAGTAAATATCTTAGTAATAAACTTCTGGTCTTGAAAGCTTTTATTGTAAACACGTAGATCGCCGTTGATCACAGCCGTGATGTTATTGGTGATAACACACTCCTCGAGTGTTCTGTTGTTTTTATACAAGTTTAATAAATAAAGTAATAAATTAATAAACTGGGCCGTGAACGCGGCGTTTAATATGTTTTAATGTTCGCAGTTCCTTCACCAAATTATAGTTCCTTAACAAGCAGCTTGTTGCTACGAACTCCGCTCACTCGCTGCTCAGTCTGCTGTAAGCCTCGCCTTTTGAAGTACGGACTGAACCACAAAACTGCCGCAATATCAAGTTCAGCTCAGTTGTCAGTTTTTGCCAGATCAGTATTAATGTTGTTTTGTTCCAGCCAGTCTGTAAAGCATCTTACAGCCCATTTAGTTTGGCAAATGGTGTTGGGTTCATTTCTGGCTGATTCCAGGTTGTTCAGCTGTTCTTCTGGCACAGCTGCCGACTGAAAAGCTGCTCAGTGGTGATGACAGTTTGGGAATTTAGTGTCATCTCATCTTCAGAGTCTGACCAAATCGGCTGTCGGTCAAATGTGATCTTAAAAGTGTCCATTTTCTGTTTGCGGCAAAGTAAGAAGTGAAAACGTTCAAATGGCTTGAGCGTCTCCTACAGCAGTCAAAGTCACTGCTTAGCAACATCGTCTCAGCAGAGTAATAGTGTTCGTGAATAAAAAGTGATGTTATGGTGAAATAACAGCACAGTTAGAACGCCTCTCAACCAATCAGCTTGCGTGGCCGGAACTAACTGTTATATAATTTCTCCTTTATGATGTTCCCAGTGAAAATGTGGGAACAGTGAGTGCAGAAGGTTCGGGGTGCTTACCTCTGTGGCCTCGATGGCCAAATCCATTTCCTCATCACATACGTTGGACCAGAACTCGATTCCTTGTAAGGCAACTTCGTCGATATCACTCTTCATGGCTTCTATTGTAATCTAAACACACAGCCGGAAGAGAGAACACTGTTATAAACAGCAAAAGCTCAGAGCAGCAGTGCGTTCCTTTGACGATGTTGCGTACATCAAAGCCTTAACCCCTAAGACCTATCAAAATCATTAATGAATTCCAAGCACCAATATCCTAGATTTTTATTGCATTTTTTTCCCCCTTTGGTCCCTTTTTGTTTGTGGTTTTATGTACAAAAATGTTACAATTCAGTTTACATGACCATTTCCTAACTTATCTTTATCCCAGACTGTTTGTTACAGTGCTTTTAAGGCTGATATGATGAGCTCTGTTCTGATTGGCTGTTCTGTGTTGTGCCTCATTCAAAAAGCAGCCCAACCTGAAACACTCCTTATAACTTCAGCATGAATGGGCAGTCAAAGGCTGTAGGCTGGATTTGCACATGTTGGTTTTTGTGGCGTCACAAATTCAAAGCCAGCTGTTTTCACAGATACATTTCCAAATATGTTTTTAAAAACGTAATGCTTACCCACTACAGCTACGCTACTATGTGAGAAACTTCCATGATATGGGCCCTTTAAAGTCTAACAAGCTCCATCTAGCTGGACACTTACCGCAAAGAGCGCCGGCCCCATATACGTCTCCATGTATTGATAATATAAGGACATGATCTTCACCAGGTTCTGTAATGCAGCCACTCTAACCTGGTGAGGGAGGAGAATCCATCAGGTTTCTACACTTTTCAGAATGTAACATGTCCACCTTTTTGGATGTAATCGGAGTCAGCGTCACTCACCCTGGTGTCGGGGCACTGTGTGGCTTCACAAACAACTTGCATGATGAAGTGTCTTTCCGTCTAGGGGGGAGAAAACAGATAAAATAATCAGAATACAGAGGCCTTGAGCGTTTCCCAGTTTAATACACTTACCTGATGATTCAACTCTACTATCAAGCCTTTCAGTCAGGTACTTTAGAGCAGAGGAAGCCAGCTATTTACAGCACATTAGGTGCCTCAGACACTGATAATCAGACCATTAACCAGCGCCTGTCCCTTCCTCTCCCACCGTGCAACTGGATTCAGCTGTGTGAATGTATGATCACATTAGGAAACTGTTTCCTCAGGTTTGTCTCATGTGGGTGTGTTAGGGGCCATGCTACACTACACTTCCTACAATAACACATATTAGCCCCCACCCCCAAAACAAACAAACAAACAAACAAACAAACAAAAAACCTATACAGTGTTTAGTTTTAAACATAATAAATTTAATAGATTACCCACTAGCTTAGACACTTAGACGGCAGCAATCTACTTTGTTTAAATTCTCTGTACACTTGCAAAAATATGCCATACAGAAGTCTTCAAATCTGGAACTTAAAACCAGCTTCCAGCCCTGGATTTTCTAGTCACTGGTAGGTATGGTACTAGATGGCCATCAGGCCCATCAGCAGCTCAGTTAACTACCAGTGTTTACAAGAAATCAACTTGCTTGTCACTTAATCACAGCTACAAGTCGCCTACTGCCTTAGAAAACAGATGTACGCCTAGGGCTAAACGATTTGATGAAAATATCCAATTGCAATTTCTTTCAATATTGCAAATGCGATTGAAATGCAGTTATTTTCTATACATTAACTTTAACTCCAGGTCTTTTTCGCAAAAAAGACCAGCACGTCTATTTTTTCACACTTGTGGTTTGAATGCTGAATGTAGTGTGCCAGACTGCTGGTTCACAAATCTATCCTTTGAAATAAGTAATTTAAGGATGTAAGATACAATTAAAATTGCAGCTCTGGCAATTAGAAAACTGCAATTTCATAAAAATTGTTCAGTGTGATAATCTGACTTCAAGAATGCTAGAAGACAGCTTGGTTGGTGGTGGCCTGGTTAAGACAATTCCTTAGGCGATAACCATGTGTTGGACTAAAAGTCTAGTTTTGCTAAAGCTCCAGAAGTGGAGGTCTGTGGATATAAAGCAACCAGACAAAGAAAGAGTACCTCCTTGTCGAAGTTGGCTTTGGTGAACTCCAGGGAGTTGAGAAGTGCGTTGGTTGCGGCGAGTTTGACGTTGTTGCTGGGTTCCTCTTTCCTCATGCCCTGGATGATTGCAGTGAGGATCTGATTGGCGCTGTCCTGGAGCTGCTCTGGGTCCTGAGATAAAATAAACAAGAAACATACTGGGTTAACCTTCAGATAGAGGTCGTCAGAAACCTGAGCACTCCTAAAGGGAGTCAGGGAAGGGTTAGGCAAAGGTGACATCAAGCCTTTGGTCCCTGACAAATGCATCCAATAAAGCAGGGGTGCACAATCCTGGACCTGGAGATCTACCACCCTGCAGAGTTCAGCTCCAAACATAGTCTATCACAGCTAACTCAGGTAATGAAGGCCTTCAGGGGCATCTGAATAATAAAGCCAGGTGGGTTGGATCTGAACTCTCCACGTTGGTAGATCTCCAGGACCAGGACTGAGCACTTCTGCAATAAAGGTTTCACAGTTACGAGAAGCATGGGCCCAGTCATTATTAGAGCATTAGGATCAATTCCAGTCCTGGAAGGCTTTTAGTCCAGCACAGTTTAGTTATTTCCCTGCTTAAGCATCTGATTCAATACAACAAAACGCTGGAACAAAGTCATCTAGAACCGGCAATTGCTGAACGCTTCCCTGCTTTTGTAAAGCATTACATTAGTGCTCATAACACTACGTACCACTGAGGTAAGGAACTAACCAGCCCAAGTTAAAGGGTAACTCCACAGTTTTTTCAAAATCTCTGAATAATTAAGTGGTTAGGATTTAAACAGAGTCGTTTGGTGTGAAACGCTCTGTTCTAGACAATTCTTACTCAGAGTTGTTCACAGTGGTGGTGATAGGAACCAGACGTCCACCTCTAAAAGCTCCCTCACAGCAAGTTACTACATGAAATGGTTATGAATTCACTGCCTGATGTCTGAGACACTGTTTTACGATAGTTGAGAAGATTTTGACCTAAGGCTGTGAGGCAAAACAGTCCTGTGAGGCAAAAATAGTCCCCAAAGAAAACTTTATTTTTCCACCATTTTCCATCATCAACATTCCATATAAGCTCAGAAGACTCGTGTAGGTTCACTGGTGGTTCTGGATAGTAAATAAAATGTCTATATCTGTGTTGTAGTCATGGCGACCCCTGGTTCCTATCACCACCACTGTAAAGAGATCTGAATCATTTCACACCAAACCACTCTGAATCACTCACTCAATTACAGCTCAAACTATTAGAAAACATGAAAAGCTGGTGGAACACATTAACATTTATAAAGGCGTATTCCAACTCTAAAAGCTGCTTTAGTTGGTTTTAATGTCATTTCATCCTTGAAACTCACACTGACACTGCTTGGAATAAACCCTTATAAAAATGTTTGTCAGTTGTCATAAAACACTTATGTAGGTGTAGCAATTCGTTTAAGCACAGTGTGCACGGTTAATTTGCTATATGCCACTAAATTTCCATTTCCGGACACTTTTTAAATAATTGGGAATTACAATGTTCGTTTGATGTTTGCTGAACGATAAAATACTGGGCCCAAACTATCAAACAAGAACAGCAGGCAGCAATTTCTCCATCACTACTGCCACACTGCTTATTCTCAAACTCTTTAGCTGTTAGCTACTTAGCTTAGATCAGATAACTTCAGCTAAGCACAGCAGATAACTGCTGGTGAAAGTGCTGATCATTCTTTTCATTTCAAAAAGAAAAGCACTGCCACTGTAGTCTGCAGTGTCCCTCTGCAGTATAAACACACCCTGCAGACTGAATTAACTGCCAGTGCTGAGTGCTGTAATGAGAAAACACCAAACATTCCTGCAGTTGCTCATTCAAATTAATTCACTCAGCTTACGACAGGCTAAAAGATGTAGTGAAGATGGGGGTAATTTTACTAAATAGTACCCAATGACATAAAAGCAGCACATTCTCTACAGAACAGCCTGTCGTGCCAGGCTACAACAGATTACAACATCATCCATTTTCCCCCTCTTTTGATCATTTTAATGACGAATTGAGCATCAGAAATTTTCAATATCAAACCTAAGGCTAAACTACTGTAGGCGAGTCTGCAGGCAGAGATTAGTGTTAATTATTCAACATGACCGGAAATCATGTAAGCAAGAACCTCAAACATGAAAGTTTGTATGAAAAAACCTGCTGGGGAATTTTTATAATAGAAGCAAGTTTAAAAGAAAGAAATGTGTGCGGTTTAAATAAACATCCTAGTTCTATTGGGTCTATAGAGCTGGACTGTACAGCTCTGGATAAGAACTGACAGCAGTAATTTAGTTTCTCCTCCACGTTGAGGTGACTGAAGCCCCGCCCTAAACCGTCTTCTATTGGCTGATGCATGTTTAAGTTAAAATAGAGCTCAAAAGTTCAACCCTGGCAAACTAACTATACCACGTAATCAATCGCAAAAGGGGCGTTTTTGACAGTCACCACTATCTTGTGAAGCAGTGCATCACAAACAATCAGCCGTATCCAGTCACACTACAGAAACCTTCTCTCTTTAGGTCTTACGTTAAAATCTGGCAGGTGAAGATGAGATTTCACAAATTTATATTAGAGAATCATTAATTTAGTAATAATAGCTTATCATACAGAATCTCAAAATCTCAAATTAGGAAATGGTAAATAATTCAGTCTAAGTCGATAATCAGTTACGTCTGTAACCAAGCACTATACGCACACAGCTCAGATGCAAACTCATCCAAAATAATGTGTTCAAAAAAAAGGAAGGCAACCAGCAAGACAACTACTGTTACCGATTTATAATAAGTCAAAACTAAAGTGTCACTTAGTAAACTAAGTTATGAATACTGTGAGAGAGCCCCCTGCTGTCTAGCGGAGCGCACTAACATTATTTCACCTAATAAATGCACACGTTCAGCTCTGTCTCCTCATTATCTCACTGTCATTAGTGTAATATACAGGGTGACTCAGAAAGATTCATCTGATTTCAAAGCGCCATATTTTTACAACCCTGAGGCATCTAGGGACCAATCACAATCCAATTGAAAGAGGGGGTCACAGAGTTTGAGACTGTCAGTGGAAGATGGCTCCCCCTTCAGTCTGAGAGGAGATGAGACCCCTGAGCAGAAAGCGTTCTGCGTTCTCCTCTTCAATAAGAGTGAATCCGTCATAACTGTGCAGTGTGATTTCCGTGGGCAGTGAAGCTTCAACAGCTCAGAGCGTTCGTCGTTGGTTCCACAACACCGGATGATCTCCGAAATCGCACTGAGTGCAGCGACACCCGACACGCTCAATCCAGTATGTGATGAATCTGATTATGGCTTTAATATTGTCTGTATAGCTGGAGGAGGTTCAGACTGAGACCTTGTATAATTACATAAACTTTATGCTCATTTAAACCATTTACAGTTCACTGCATTGTTCTGTAATGATTTACAAGGAAAATAAATTATTTTGAAAATCAGATGAATCTTTCTGAATCACCCTGTACTTCAGGCACTTTATCAATATTAACGCATACATGAAAGGAAACTGGAAAACGTGTCTGGGACTTTTAAAACACAGAAATTAAAAACATCAAGTCGAAATGACTATTTTGCAATATAAACAGATGTAGCATCACATGCTAGTTATAGTTGACTTGTTATTCTGCCCATCACAGCTGCCTAAAAACGATGGAAACGGCAATTAAAACAGAAGTTAAGACACTCTTGGGGTTTATCCTAAAGTTAAGGTGTCATGATGACCTGGTGTTTCTGGTGCTACACAGACTCAAAGTCATTATAGACGTTGCCTCACCTGTCTCACACGTCACTGAGCTCTTCTCATGCATACCTACAGATCGTGATAAGCTGCTAACAGCAGTCAGTGTCATCACAGTGAAAAACCGTGAATACGCTTCTAACAGCAGCCACTGGTTTTCCCTGGTAACAGTGAGTGATTTTCACAGATCCGTTTCTCATTGTTACTCTGATCGGCCTCTAACTCATCAGTTAACATTGCTTAATCTAAATACTCCTCTCCAATGACAGGCTGCTTTTCCCCATTTCTCTATTTTTTTATTTTATATTAACTGTAAAACCTTATCCTCTGTTCATATCGCTCTGTGTGTTACTGTTTGCCATCCAGTGTGGACCAGAAGAGGATGGGTTCCCCTTTTGAGCCTTGGTTCCTCTCAGTGGTTCCTCCTCTTGCTCTGAGGGAGTTTAACTTGGGGGCTCAAACCCGGAATTTCTGTAAAGCTGCTTTGTGACGATGCCTGATGTGAAAAGAGCTCTACAAATAAAATTACATTTGACCGAAAAAGATAAGAGGTAGAATATCTCTGTGATACGACCCCTGGTGTTTATCTGCTAATGCCTGAGAAGGTCACAAAAAAATAGGGTTTTGCACAATAAGGGAATCATATCAGTATCGGTAGACAATTTTAAAAAAATAAACTTGCATTCCTGTATTTCAAAAGAGCAGCATGATTAAGCGATTCTGGGCTACGGCACTAAAAAATGTCTGCAACGTATTCATTTTACTTCACTATAGAAATAAACAGGGTGTTTCTCTTTAATGTTGACCCAGGTCAAACTAAAAATGTTTTTCAAAAGTGCATCAGTACCCACATTAACAGATTAGGAAGGTGAAAAAAATCAAATGGCAGCATCAGCCCAGAACTCCAATGTCAGTGCATATGTACCACCATAACCTCAACCCTGTGAAGACCACCTCTGGTACTAAAACGAACAGCAGTGTGGGGGTCACTCACAATGTCCTGACAAATGTATCCGATGGCCTCCAGCGTGGACTCCTTCATGTGCTCCGTGCTGCTGGGGTCAGTGACGTTGGCGACCAGCTGGGGAATGAGCTCCGGCCACTGCCTGACTGGAATCTCAGCACACGCGATGCCTGCCACACACTGCGAGGCTGAGCTGGGCCTGTATGTCTCTGTGCCCAGAGTCTGCAGCACCTGCAGAGCAAAGCAGAGAGAAAAAGGTGAGTTGGAGAGAATTTACCAACATTAAAAGAAATACTGCAATGTTTAACATCGCAATCAATTACCAGACAGGTTCAGCACTTTTAACTGTACTTCTGACCCATTTCACATTTGCCTTTTGACTCATACCACATTTTAAAAGAAACATATACAAAAATGAGCATAATTAGCCCTGTTTAAGTAGATTTAGTGCCGCACTTTTTGATGGCATATTTTAAAACTGGCATTACTGGTGAAATTTGTTAGCAAATCAAACCTCAAAACTAAATAAAGATCTATATCTTGCGTAGATTGAAAATATACACAATAGAACATTGTATTTTCTGCCATATTGCCCATCCCACTGCACAGGAAAGAGACATAAGCATGCAGCATACTTATCAAATTGTATCGCAGTGTGCATCGCATAACAAGCACATTAGCTTGTATAGAGGGCATCAGACTGGCACAACTCACATTAAAATAAGGCACATTCTCAGCCACTCATTTTTGCAATATTGAAGAATACAAATACATATACAATCAACCAGTGTGTTTATTTTACTCACTGGAAAGTCGTAAACAAATTTAGAAGTTAGGTCCCCTCAGTTCTTTGGATTCCGACAGTTCTTAAAGAACACAAAGCAACTTGGAGCATAATTACTCCCATGTAACTGGACTTACTGCAGTGCTTAAAACACTGAATGACAATCATTGTATTTATAGTTCATCATTTTTAAATGCAACACTACTGTGGCTTTTCTCTGTTCCAACATACCAAAACTCAAGAAAACGAAATATTACATGTATCATGAAAACGTCATCAAGAACTGCGATATATTTTCGAATTACAGCACTGTCCACTCAACTCACAGTAGTTTATGGTCACCTCCACATTTTTAATGTCATTACTGTAACTTTTATAGTAAGTGCGCCTTTTGTCTTATCCTTTATTACATACCATGCTTATTGTGCAGATTCAGAACTGTGAAAAATTGAAATACCTCGAATGCTGTGTAGAAAAATGAGAATCTTAAACAGACCCTAGCAGGATCCTTAAGTACTCTGCACTACTGTACTGTGTATCTGTATGACAGTTCCTCTTAACAACGCCAGACAATCGAACAGAAGCAAGAAATAAAGTGTTCCACTGTTAAAACACCGCAGGAAGAGGCTCCTTACGTAGTTTTTGATCTCCCTGCGGGCGTTGGCGTCGATGGCCAGCCATCTCTGCTGGTACTGCGCTTTCACGTCAGGGTCCTTGGATGTGAGGGAGTTTTTAACCTGCAGGCCGGCGGCGACTCGGGCTACCTGGGTGTTAGCGGGATTAGCCAACACCTTGGAGAGCTCCACCAAGAAAGTGGGCTGCAGGGGAGAAGGAGGAGATGAACAAGAGCTTAATTACTACAAACAGAAGTCACATTTCACAGGCAATACACAGCATGAAGCATCAGAGCTGGAGGCCACAGACTTCATGTGCACCTGGGAATTTATGAAGATACAAAAGATCCAAGATTTATGAAGATTTTAACTCCAAAGAAGCTGTTTTGTAAAACACACAGGTGTTAGGTGTATTTAAATCAAGATTAAAAGCATGTTTAGGCTAGTATGCCCAAATATTGAAGTCCATTCCAATGTTCTGCTTATTTGTAAAGCACTACGATTTTGCAGCCAACATTTAAGTGTTATTATAGTTCAACAGGGGTCAACATTGCCTAATGCCTGGTGCCTCTGACCTCAGCAAAGCCCAAGGTCTGAGTGGCTATTTGTGACCGTGTGGTGGTCACTTGGCCAAGCTGGCCCACCTGGCATCATGCTGTTTCATTGGCTAAAGTTTGCTAATCACCAGGATATAAGGTCTTAAATAAAATAAACAGGCTGAATGAGCTGCAGTAGCTAAAAAGCATATAATTAAAGTAAACGAGCTCAGACAAGGGTCAGGGTGGACCACCATGGTCACAGCAACAGTAATGTTCTTATTAATGTAAAGATTTTAATAAATATTTCCTCTTTCAAATTAACCCTCTGAGCATGCTTGTGAACTGTAAAAATGCATAGTCATTTTGACAACAAATTCAAAGGCCTAAAAACAACAGACTTTGCATTCAGAAGAGAAAATCTGATATTTTATACGATGTTCAACAATAAAGCTTCCAGTCTGACCGGTTTAATGGATCTGCAGGGACGCTGACTGCACACAGGCATCTGCAGCAGGATCCGAGTTTAAATTCAGGGGATTAGCAATCATAGTGATATGGGTGTTAACAGGGGCCCAGCGGTCTGCTAACGACGAGGCTCCATTCAGGAGCGACAGTGTGGAGGCTGCTTTCACACACTGTGGCCAAAAAAGCCCACTTTACTTTAGCTTCTCTTCAGCCAGCATTAACATCAGAAACTTACCAAGTTTTCAATTGCCGCCTGCTCCAAAAACTTCTGCGCAGCCTCCAGCTCATTTCGATCTGAAGGAAATGAGAAAGAAAAGACTTTAAACAAAGCTGCCATCTGAACTTCATCAGGTCAACCACCTATAGTGTTCTTATAGTCAAGAACAGAGACATAATTACAAAAAAATTAAATCTAGGGCTGGAAAATAAGGCAATATTTATGTTATTGTGATAAGTTATGTCGCAAAACAATATAACATGCTTTTCTGAACATATGTATATTGTCCGTACTTGTAGACACTGACCAACTGGCATGTTTCATTATAAAGAGAACAAAATTTCCCCATTTAACTTGATTTAGTGCAACAAAGTACAGCAAATATTAAATAAAAATCACTGCTCAGTGTTTGGTCATATTTTTTAACGTGAAGCACTACTGGCTTCTTTTTCTCTGTTCCAACTGATCAGAAATCAGAAGTATCATGACAGGTCATGTATCGTCATATTTCTGCCATCTCATCCTCCTCTACATTCTTTAACAGACAGTTCTTCAAGGGTTCTTTAGTAAAGGGAACGGTTCTTTGCATGGCAAAATAGCTCTTCAGACTGACGAAGAATGAGTTACAATACAGAATATATATATTTTTTGAAAATGGTTCTAAGCGGCTCCAAAAAGAGTTATTCTCTTGTTGCAAGCTTGACACTGCAACAACAGAAGAACGTTTTTTGGTGCAGAACCATGTACAACACATTCTCCATGAATCTGAAGAACCATTTCACCATGCAAAGAACCTTTTAAGCATGCAAATGGTTCTATATAAAACTCAGGTTCCAAACAGAACCACTTCCTTTACTACAGAACCCTTAAAACCAACCTTTAAAGAGTACAGAACTCAAAGTTCTACAGAGAACCACTCCCTTTACTAAAGAACCATTTTTCTAAAGAGTCTAGATCTCACTGTAGCCCATTCTACCCCCTCCCTCTTTCCCTCCCTCCCGCCGGCTATGAGCTCAATCTTCCCCGGTATCCGCTAACACACCCGGTACAACCGCGCCTCCAACATAAACCAAGACAAAACTCAGCGGTTAAAACATAAATACACACAGAAAGTGCTTTATGATGAAGATACCGGGTCAGATGGTCGAACCGGCCCGATGCTCCTCCTTTAGACACTAAAATCGGCGCGGCTAGGAGCCCATAAACTTTTAATTAGCCGGCTAGCCGCTAGCTTTAGCAAGATAGCCCCCCCGGCTGGCGACACAACTTCCCTGTAAACGTTAAATCACCCTGCGCCACCGAAATAGCGCCCACACAGCACCAACAGCGGCAAATACATGATTTCGCGGTCACTAAGACTCTATAACGCCTTACGGATGCGGCAAAAACCCAAACTGCAGGCTAACAAGTAAAAACCCGCGCTAGTTAGCTTAGCGGGCTAACGTGCTAACGGGCCGGCGTTCCTAACCCAACAGTTAACGTTAGTTACCGCGAGTAACTGCGACCAAATCAGTCTTGTTTTAGAGTGTTACAGCTTTAAGATCATTAACTGGCAGTTAGGCGGTTATTTTACTCAGCATAACGAATCTCAGACAGCTCTGCGTACGAGCTAGCGGAGCTAGCACATCCGCCCGAGCCGACTCTCGGCGCATTCGCCAGCTTCTCGTTCGAATTTTCCCGTTCCACCTTAAATGGTGCAGCGGTTTTATTCTGGCGAGCGGGGCACTGGAATGTAACTGCTGCACAATTTAAGGCTGAACGGGGGATTCTGAACGAGAAGCTGGCGAATAGGAAACTGACTCGAGCCGGGCCTGAGCTTATTAGCGTTAGCATTAGCATGAGCGATAGCATTAGCGTTAGCGTTAGCCGCCTTGCTAGCGAGTCCGAGCCCGCAGCCCGGCTGTCAGCCACCCGGTCAAAGAATTTCGCTCCGTTTTCCGTGAGATTTCGGCGAACGCGGCGCCGCGGAGCAGCCCGGAGGGCACTTTAGAGGCTGTGAGTTGAAGCGGCACCTGGAGAGACGGTTTTCTCGAGGATCGTTATCAGCTCCATCCCGGATTAGCGAGCGGCACTAACGCGCTGCGGATCAGACACTAAAGCACACTCGGGGAATCTCCCGCCCTTTCTCCGCTCTCTGCTCGCGGCCGCTTCTTCACTCCTCCGCGTGTTTGTTTGGCTGGTCGTTTGTCGCTCCGCGTGCTCCGCTCCGCTCCTCTCTTACAGCAGCTCGCACTCTGCCCCGCGTGCGGAGGGAAGAAAAAAAAAGGCCCGCGAGACTCCCGCGGTACGATCACGCGCATGCGCGGTGCGGCATAAATAAATAAATAAATGGACCCTACGCCCTCTGCGCGGCCCCGTGACTCAGCGTGCGCGCTCATCGGGCAGCGGCGATTCGCAAAGGCGATTAAATAATTCATTTAAATAAGCGTTCAAAAATAAATAAATAAATAAATAATGCTACTAATCTATGCTGAGGTATTTATTTGGTGTTTGTTTGTATATTTTATAATTATAATTATTTTATGTTTGTTAACAGTGACTGAATTATTGGATAATTATTTAATGTTCTCTGTTCATAACTGTTTTCCACAGTATATACTTCTTCTTCTTCGAATAGTGATGATGATGATGGTGATGATGATGATGATTTTTTTTTTCAGCCAGATTTTTGTCCTCATCCTGCAGTTTTCAACATATCGACTCTGCTCCGACTCTGGACGTATGATTTTCGTACAATCATTAATTGATGAGTGTTTTTCCCATAAGACTGAGTGGGGTGCAAAAGTGTGTGCACCCAACTTATGACATGTTGATACAAGTTCCGTAACAGCACCCTAGCAACCACCTGGGATACCATAGCAACCATCTAGCTACAGCCTAGCAACCACTTGGGATACCACAGCGACCACCTAGCAACACCCTAGCAACTACTTGGGATACCACAGCAACCACCTAGCAACACCCTAACAACCACCTGGGATACCATATCGACCATCTAGCAACACCCTAGCAACCACCTAGCAACATCCTAGCAACTATCCAGCAACAGATTAGCAACCACTTGGGATACCATATCGACCACCTAGCAACACCCTTGCAACCACTTGGGATACCATAGCAACTGCCTGGGATACCATACCAACCAACTAGCAACACCCTAGCAACCACCTGGGACACCATAGTGACCATCTAGCAGCACTCTAGGAACTATCTAGCAACAGCTTAGCAACCACCTGAGATACCACAGCAACCATCTAGCAACACCCTAGCAACCACCTAGCAACCACCTAGCAACAGCTTAGCAACCACTTGGGATACCATAGCGACCATCTAGCAACACCCTAGCAACCACTTGGGATACCATAGCAACCACCTAGCAACACCCTAGCAACTGCCTGGGATACCATAGCAAACACCTAGCAACACCCTAGCAAACGACCTAGGATACCACAGCCACCACCTAGCAACATCCTAATAAGTTAATGTACATTTTATTCCAAGCAATAGTGGAGAATTTCAATCAGTCCGATCATCATGAAATTTTAATACCATGTAAAGGACAGCTGTCTCACTCTGATGATGTGGAAGAAGAAAAACAAACAAAATGGAGGCACATTTTTGTTTGGACAGCGACGATATTTAGCTTAAAATTTAAAGCATGTTTATGATGCGATGACACTTCACACCAGATAAACTGAATAATACTGAATGAATAATGTTATTTATAGGAGCACAGTGGTCTGTATGAGGGCACTTTATGCATGTGTGTGAGAGTCTGCGGCTTTAAAACACACAGTGAGAAACAAAATATTCACCAACGCGAGCCACAGATCACACTCAGCACAGTGACAGCGTCTGTTCAGTCTGAACAGCCCTACAGATCCAGAACGCTAGATCGCTAGATAGATAGATAGATAGATAGATAGATAGTTATTAATCCCAGAGGCAAAGTTGTCTATTACAGCAGCACAAAGTTCAGTAAAGAGCAAAACAAGAGCAAAAATATGATCGTACATTATTATACAAACGCATAAATAGAAAAAGTAAAGATATATAATAAATTATACTAAAACAACCATAAAACATGGTGCATGTCATGTCCAGTGAATGAACCGAGTGATTAAACTCTGTAAACAATAACATATGTTAATAGTTGTGGAATATGACATATACATATGGATATATAAACGAAGTGGCAGTGCAACATGCAATATGTGTGGACGACCTCATATAGTGCTCATATAGTGTTTATCATAATCAGTTTTTTATCCTTAAATGAATAAATGGAGAGGCAGCAGCTCCGTCGAAGGCCAGTCCGATGAGTTTTTTACTAGTTAAAACAAAAAAAAACTGAATTGACTGATCTCACATTACTTCCTTGAGTTCTTATAAGTCTGAATTTAATAAATTAATATATGTGTAAACACAGGAAGCGAGGGAGAGAAAGAAGCTGCAGCAGCAGGATTGATGGAGAGCTAAAAAAAAAGCTATCAATTAAAATTAATGTTCCATTTAATTGAACTTTTGAAAATTGAAGAAAACATAATGTTTGTCTCTATGATCATGAACTTGTCACCAAGCTTATTAAACATGCCTACAGAGCAAATCCCACTCTGTCTGAGACTGAACTGTACTCTGTGAATCTCAGTAAGATTTATAGGCCTTGCAGCTGGTCTAGGAGAGCAGACAGCACTGACCTCTGCCTGATCTGTGGATGGATACAGTGTTTGAGTCACACTGGCTCTGCGCTTAATACAGGCTGTAAACAGGCTGATCTACTGTGGGCCAATTTGACCAAACAGCCATTTTTGATACATTTTTTGAGAGTTTCCGCTCTAAAGGTTCATGATGAACATTTTGGGGCCATTTAAAACAATTCAGTTGGGGGACCAGGACCACAGACCCCCTACACACAGGCTTAGCCCCCCATCCATGAGTGTGTAGTAACGTTAGCAATGCAATGTCTTTGTCTTTCTGTTTGACTGGCTTTCACTCATTTGTTGTTAACTCCTGGATCTGACTCGGCTAGCTAGAACATCCAGTTCCCCGACTAGCTAGAATATCGAGTTCCTTGGCTGGCTAGAACATCCAGTAGCTCTTCAGTTTCTTCTGCTGAGGTTTCTTCACTCTCTGTTTTTGGGTTTAGTTTAATTTCATTCAGAATATTTTTCTCTCTGATGTTCAAACAGTAGAACCTTTTGTCGTTCTTCAATGGTCCTACGTCTCCCCCCACCCTCTCGCTCTCTTTCTCTCTCTGTCTCCCTCTCTCTGTCTCTCTCTCTTTCTCTGTCTCTATCACTCTCTCTCTCTCTCTCTCTCTCTTTCTCTGTCTCTATCACTCTCTCTCTCTCTCTCTCTCTCTATTTCTCTGTCTCCGCCCTCACTCTCTCTCTCTCGCTCCCCCTCTCTCTCACCCCCCACCCTCTCTCTCTCTGTGTCTCTTTCTCTGTCTTCCTCTCTCTCTCTCTCTCACTCTCTCTCTGTCTCCGCCCTCACTCTGTCTCTTTCTCTGTTTCTCTTACTTTGTCTCTCTCTCTCTCCCCTCTATCTTTCTCTCTCTGTCCCCCCTCTTTCTCTCTCTCTCCTCTTCTCTATGTCTCTCTCTCTCTCTCTCTCTCCTCTCTCTCCCCCTCTCTGTCTCTTTCTCTCTGTACTCTCTCCCCCCCTTTTCTCTCCCCCCTCTCTCTTCCCCCCCTCTCTGTCTCTTTCTCTCTCTCACTCTCTCTCTCTCTCTTAAATAAGTTTTTCCAGGTGAAAAGTTCGTATTTGTACCTTTTCATAACCGAATGTTTTAAAACAGAACAGTAAAATAAAAGCCTGGAGACGAGACGGGGTGTGTGGAGTCAGTACAGCTTAGAACATATCATTTCAGTGGATTATGGTTCAGTTGTGTTCCCTGACTAAAGGTACTGAGATGTACCAATGAGGGAACTACCCCAGTGACAATAGGGGGACTGTCCCAGTGACAGTTTAGTACCTTTATTTCTGAGAGTGTAGACACATCAGTGTGTTCAGCTCAGACATCTCACATCACTTTTTAGAGTGTGTGCAGCTGTGAAGCAGGTGACACATGAACACTGCATTCATCGCTGATCAATGAACAGAACACATGGGATGAGAAAAAGTCTCCCTTACCGGTCAAAATGTGCTTGGTCACATCGTAGACGTTGAGTCCGGTCTCTGGCAGAGCCGTTTCAACCAGCCGGACGTTCTCCTCTCCCTCTGTCGGTGTGAAAGCGTACACACACTCCTCATCTTCTCCAGAGCTCACGCTCTCGTCATGTACGAGCTGTACCAGCTCAACTCTGCGTGTGAAGTGGAGGCCCGTGACGGGTGAGATGATCCAGGTGATTCCACGCAGAGTGTGTGCTGAGCTGTGCTCGAAGCCGATGGTGTTACCCATCGACAGGTGACCCATGAGGTCGGGGTCGTGGACCGGACGTCTCGTCTGCAGGATCACTGAACACAGTTCATCTACTTTGTTTGTTTTCAGGACGGCCTGATTTAACAAGTACGACTCCTCAGAATCGGTGACCTCCTCCGTTTGAACACGTCTGAAGACAGGCAGCCGGCTCTGACGGAAAACCACGTCGTTCGTTTTCGGTGCAACTCTCAAAAACACCTTTGGGTGGAATCCCTGCATCAGGCGGAGTCTGGACAGTCTGTCTGCAGCATGGAATGGGTTGGTTTTCTGCATTTTCTTCTGTTCACAGCCAGTCAGACCTTCTTCTTCTTCTTCTTCTTTTTCTTCTCCCCCAACTTTGCAACTGTCGGCATCTCCATCAGCCATGCATCCCTCCTTCCTCTCCTCAACATCTGCACACTCTTCTCGGATGATGCTGGAGCAGCAGGACCCAAGAACGTCATGCTGCAGAAACGCCGTCCTCGCACTTTGGCTTGCTGTGAGAGACGGCTCCTTCAGCTTCAGTCGTTTCAGACTGTTTGTCCACAGGAAACCAGGAATTCCCTCATTTCGCAGAGTGCTCCGAATGAATGAACGGTAGTTCCACTTCCTAAAAGAGTCTCCGCCTGAAGGACCATCGTCGTCCTTACTGGGTCCGTCTTGTAGGTCCATGGTTCTCGCAGACGCTCCGCGGGAACGAGAGGTCGTAGAAGTCTGACCGCTCTGCACGGTCCTCTCTTTTATACATTGTTTACGTGAAGAGAACCTTGGACACCTGTTCACCCGTTAGTCACGCATCGAGGTAAGAGGCCCAAAACACATGGCCCTGTCAATCAACTGTGCACCCCCACACCCCTCCACCTCGCCATTG